TGTGTCAACAGCACCACTCCACCTCCAAGTTCGACAAAAGAACGAAGCAGGCAGTGTCGTGCCATGTCTTCCAGCTCCTCGATTTGTTTGTTCCGAGCATGTCAGGAATCACCGCATCCAGTGAGTTATCATGACGAGTTCATGTCACTCCTTTAGTACGCAGCCTTCGCTTGCAAGTATGTTTTCTTAAATCCTGACCGAGTTCGGAGCATGTCCAGTTGTTGCGTATTCCATGCAAGCGCCTCCCGGGATAGAGTCTGCGTTCTTGTGTTACGAGTGCCTGGGAAACGTTTCGGTGCCCGTCAGGTGCCCATTGCGGCACCTGAGCTGCCTTCGACGTTTGTCGTTGTCGGTGTTTATCTCAAGTTGGCATCGGCAATTCAACTGGAGTTTGCGCGACATTGCAACTGCAAGGACAATGGCCAAAGATGATATTGTCATCACTAACATTACAAGTATTAGCCACTTGAAGATTGCATCATTGTTTGTATTGTAGCAAACAGTTACTCGTTCATGATTGCTGTTGCCATCGTTATTTCTATTTGCAAAATTATCGTGTCGAAGTTCAAACCCTGTAAACAGCAGCAATCGCCCAAACTCACCTAGGACCCTGGAAGCTCACAGCCCTTCCTATCAGCCTTATAAGCTTTGCAGAAACCTTACAAGCCCCATCAGCCTCGCAAATCCCCAGCCCAAACTATGAAGCTAATGAGCCCCAAATCAGTGCAGCGCGCTTCTGTGAGCATCGCCATGGCGCCGGCGGAGGCCACAAAGACGAAGGGGTGCACTGAACTAGTTTCGCCAAGTCCTTTTTGAGGCATTTGGGGCTTTGGGTTCGAAAGGTGGCGTACATGAGAGTATGTTCTTGGGGTGAGATGTGCTTAATCGGAAAGATATCGACTCGATGCGATTAAATTGCTCAAGACCCCCCATCCCCTAGACTCTAAATCCTAAACCCTCAACACTCCAAACCCTAAGCTTTCAACCTACCAAAGCAACGGTGGCACCGCTTGCTACGAAGAATGATGGTAGTAGAGGGAACCTGAGCATTACACTTTCGTATATATAATCTTACTTATAGTATACACCAAAGCCCGGTTCTTAAGTGTTCCTGGAATGCTATGAATGCTATGGGGACATAAAGGGGAACAGTGTTATCAACTCTTTGGTCCGAGGTCGGTCCCTGCTGAGAGACAGTTCATGACCGAGAACCGAGCCTCTATGAACCTTCGTTTGTAACCCCGGCACCTCAAACCCTCAAATGATTAAAGGCAGTTTCCGAAAACAGAGGTAACGTTTTTAAGGGCACTTATAATAAGGATCATATATCTAGGATGCTAGATTAGGGTCCCCTATTTTCGGAAGCCCTTCAAATCTGACCCCTCCGCTGGGTGTCTTGGGTCTCTAAGGCCCCATAAGCCCCAAACCCCAAACCTTAAGCCCAAAAGCCTCAAACCCAAAGCAGGGTCTGGAGTGCCCCGTTGGCACTCCGAGCCCCTGGCGCCGCTGCTCTCCTGGTGCCCGTTCATATCGCGGAAGACCTGGGTCCAGGGCTCGGAGCTGAACTTGAAAGTATCGCTGGCTTTGTCGCTGCTTTCGTGTCTTGAAGCTTAGGAGCAAGGCCGAGATCGCGGATTCAGATGAAGCTGACGAAGGATGGGGTGCGCAGATGGAGATCTAGGATATTTGGACTCAGCCGCCTCACACATGGCACACACATACACCTCGTACCCGGGCTGGCTTCGGGTTCCCGCACGTGCTTCAACCCGGTAGCCAACGGGAGGAGACGTCGCAGTGAGCTGACGGCTCCGTCATTCGTCTTCAACCTTGTGGACGACGCGGTTCCTCCAGGACAGAGGCAAGCTCTTCAGTTTCGGATGGTAGTCTTCCGAGCCTATTCGTGGACTGAGACTCGCTTGTCATTGCCAGCTAGCAGTTGCAGAAGGTGACGAGAACATGTCTATTCACAAATTTTCAGAAGTAGCCAGAAGTAGTGACAGCAGCAGCATTGCCCAACGAACCTGCCGCAGCCCCTGGCAGTGGTCGCCTAAAGTCAGCTGCAAAGCATCGTCAGTTTATATAGCCACTTCCCCCATGCAGCTATTGCCAAATTGCACGTTTAAACATTCTTGAATTTGTTCCAGCAGTGACTGCGAAGTTGTTAGATTCGCAACTGAAAGAGTGAAGCACCTCCCATTTTAAGTTTTTAGGACCACATGTGTGTCTGAGCGCGCTTGCGCCGGTGATGCCAAAAGGTAGGTTTGGCAAGGGAGGCGAGCCATGCCGATTTTGGGCATCAGGTTTCTGTATGCGAGGCGAGAACTGCTGGTACTCCCACGACGAAGCTGCCGTGGCTTCCTCTAGCAAGGGGAAAGGCAAGAAAGGAGGCCCCCGCAGAGAGCAGGGGTACAAAGGTGCGCGGGCGCTGCACAAAGGGAAAGGAAACGATGCCAAGGGCAAGCACTCAGTTCCGAATCCGCTGGTTTTCATGAGCCTTGGAGGTGGCCATCCCGATGAGCTTTATTCGGAGGCAAAGACTGCAAAGCAACGCGGGGACACTGCGCTTGCAATCGAACTCCTCTTCACAGCCATTCAGATCGATGCTACGATGGGTCCTGAGTTTTCAAGCCAGAGCACTAGCAAACGAGCCAGCAAGGATCTTGGGAAGTGGGCTTTGACGAATGAAAGAGCCATAGAGAGGAGCCTCGCGATCTTCGAGCGTGTGAATCGACGACTGGGCCTCTCCATGGAGAGCGGGAGTGAAGACTGGGAAGAGGGCTTCAGCGACGACCTCGACTTCGACTGTGACTCTGAGGAAGAGATTGTGTTCCTAAGGCCTGATGGCACGACGGAGTCAAAGAGCATTGCCTGGTGCTTAGCTAACGACTTCTTCGAAGTGGAGCCGGGGCTCTGGTCTGGGCCCTGGTATGAGAAAGCCATGCATCCAGCAGCCACAAGCGTTTCGAGTCAAGGAAGGGATGATGAGTTGAGCTTGTACAGCCGGGCTGAGCTGCTAGAGGCCCGAAGCAAAGCTCGGCAGATCCAAGTGGGACTGGAGCCACGTCGCGAAGAAGCCATCTTCACCAATGACTACATGAAGATGGAGTCAGACCTGCAACTGATGCAAGCCCGTGAACATGCCGCGAAGCTGCACTCACACAGCCAGAAGAAGTTGCAGCAGCTTCGGCAGGCGGTGGCAAGAGGAGTCGAAGCCTTGAATACCGGAGAACTCGACGTCCATGAGAAAGTCCTGACTGCCTTGCTTTCCGACTTCAAAGAAGACGCCGATGCTTTCCTGGTTGCCAATACGTCGTGCTATGTGGACTCAGTGGAGCCCGGCAGTCCCATAGACTACGTCTGTCGTCTGCTCGGCCAGCACGTGCGCCTTCCCAAGGGCCTTCTGACTGATGTCCTAGACCTGGTCGGTTACTGGGCCGATGTGCCATTCTGCCGCACGCTCCTGGTGCGCCAAGGTCTGTTGAAGCTTGTTGGTGAGGTTTTAGATAGCTGGCCGATCTCTGATGAGAATTCTGCTGGAATCCGTTTGAAGGCCCTGGAGATCCTGCCACAAGTAATCGTCGATCGAGATTCTCATACCCAGGCTGTATCTTCAGAGTGCGTGGCCTTGCTGCAAGGGCTCGCCGACTCTGCATGTCAAGCCGAGCTGCCGGCACATCAGTTCTACGCCCTCTCCATTGCAGCCAACGGTTTGGGAAATGCAGGAACAGGCGATCTCGCGCGTGCTCTTCTCAAGCAGGGGCTGCTTGGTCCTGCCATCCTCCTGGAGCACGCAGGAGGTCACTGTAGGGTTCACAACTCCAAGCGCAGTGTTCGGGATGCAGCTCACCACTTCATCAGCTCTATAAGCATGCGTCTTGGCCCAGAGACGATCCCCACCGTCAGAAAGTCCTTGCAAGGAATGCTCACTAAGGGCAGGTCATGGAGCTCGGCAGACGAGGAGAGGTGGAGACAATCGTCACATATGATCCCAGGGGCAGATTGCAGTCTGCAGTAGGACTCGGTAGGAGAGGTAGGAAATAGGCATCATTAGATCGGTAGATCGATTCACAAGGCACGCCGCCGTTCAATGTGGCAAGCATGACAACGCGCGGAGTTTAAAAGTTGTTCATGCCAGCACAGCTTTGCTGCTGCACGTCTTGCGAGGCCTTATGAGTGGACAAGTTGCAACTTTTCTTTGCCTACGTACCATGCTGAGAGACACTGTTCAGCTGTGATCCGCAGCACACCCTGAAATTCCAAACCACGAACCCTAGACTGTCACCCAGAACTGTATTACGTCCTTCTTGCAGGGCAGCTTCGCAACGCCATCTGGAGCGGCGAGCCGCACTTTGCTAAAGTCGAGTCTGGCCAGCATTTGGTAACAAAGTAATCTAAAGTCCGAGATCTTGAACCCCACGCCCTACAAGCCCCAAGCCAAAGCCTCTAATCTCGTTGTAGCCCCAAATTCAAAGCCCAAAGCCCTACACCGTCGGTGCCGGAGAGCAAGAGCGAGATACTTGCAAGGAGCAGAGGGCAGCAGAGCGACTATGTACTGCTGGATGGTCGGTCGCATCGTGTGCGAGAAGCTTGTGCGAAGACGTCAAAGAGCTCTGTTTTCAACTCTGGAAGGGCATGAAGAGGTCTTCGGACTGAGAGGACTTCGTCAGATCTCAGCTTGCCGGGAGCTTGTGGGCGGGATTGAACATAATTTCGAGAAGTGGCTGAAGCTTTTCACCTCGAGATGTTGCGTGGTCTCACTTTCTTCTTGCCGATGAGAGTCCGTAAGCGAGCGCGAGGACCTCAGCAGTGCATGAACTGTTCGCCCAAAACCTGTGCGAAGACGTCTCAGCCTTGCCAACCGCCACGTCTTCGGGCCTAGGATCAGTCATTCTGCGACATGTGTGTGAGACCTTGCTCATGCTTGCCTGAGATTCCCCGCAGGGCAGATATCCGCATATCGAGCTTTGAATTGGCTCGAAAACAGAAAGAAGGACGTAGCAATGCTTTCGACCCGAGATCACCGACCACGAGGGCACGAAGGGCGAGTCCTTCGGTCGTTGTGTGAATGCTTAGACCTCGAAGAAGAGGCGATTTTGAGCTCTTTACATCAGCCCTTGGAGGCTTGCGCGAACTCTCAGAAGGCCATGAGGTTGCATGCGAAGCTGAGGAGAGGTGATGTAAAGGCACTGATACCAAGCCTGCCGGACCTCATGCTGATGAACTTGCAGGAGATTTTGGATGTCTGGCCGGAAGCAGAGGCAGAGGCCCCTACTGCTACGGCCGATCTTCCTGGGTCCCATGGCGCAGTCATGAACGAGATGCAGCTCTCCTACGTCCTCGGACGCCAGACGCCCTCATCCGGCGGCTGCCAAATCTACACGGAGCTGGATTGGCAGAGGGGGAGCCTCGATCTCCTGAAGCTCGAACAGGCGCCCTAAGTGACTGGGTGGCCGGGTGGGGGTGTTTCTTTGCCGAAAGCCCTGAAAAGCTCGGCATTTCAGGCAGTGAAGCACGTGGTGCGCAAGGAACCCATGCTGCGGGCCATGTACCGAACAGAAGTGCGAGGAGAAGTGCAGGACTGCTTCGTGCTTTGATCTCAGAAGAGCTTCGGGATGATCGGGGGCTCACGGAGCTTGGAAGTACTGTTGTTTGGTAGCGACATCAATACGCATCCCACCGTAGCTTGGGACATGGTGCGTGTTATCCTCGTAATCTGAAGAGGCCGGCGTGGCCTTAGAGTGGACACCCAAAATCTGAACCCAAGCCGCGGTTTCGGAGTGTAGGCAGAAGACAGACCGGGTCGAGGTAGAAGTTCGGCATGCCGGCACTTTTGCCTGTCAGGAGATTCGAGAAGACCTCGACTGGCATCTGAAGGTGGAAGATTCCCACCTGGCGCGGATGATCTGGAGTCGACCTTTGCCTTCGGACCGCTTTTGGGCCCTGGGGGCCTCCGAGCCGGAAGGCAAAGTGCGGCTGCATCTGGCAGTGGATATGACCTTCTTGGATGCAGAGAGCTGGTGGATGGTATTCTACAAGGTTGCAGCGGCTTATCGTGCGGGGCTGTCGCTGGCGATTCAGCAAGACGATGACTCTTCCGACAATGACTTTTTTCAGTACTGCAACCGCCGGAATCTTCATGTTTTGGAAGGCGAGGAGGAGTGGAAGGTTCGCTTGGCCAGCCTTCCCCTTGGACCCGAGCTGTCTTGGTGCAAGCGACTGGGCCAGGGCCAAGTCGAGGCTTTTGGGCGCCTCTCTTCATGCGTGCCGTGTAGTACATGGCTTGGCATGAAGAAGTTGGCCCAGAACTACGGCGTAACATCCACGAACCTTCTGCTGACCTACTTCCAGGATGCATTGGCCTTCAACTCCCGTTCCAGTGCCTTCACGCTGACAGCCACCGTCAGCCGTCGACCACCTGAGTGCAAAGGACTCGGGGAGTTCACGAATGTTGCGCTCTTGTCCTGTGACGAGGAGGTCCTGAGGAAGGATCGAAAGTCCCGAGCGCAGGAAGTAAAGCAACATCTTCTACAGCAAATCCAGCTGGACCAGATAACAGGTATGCATGTGATGAGGCTCTGGCGCCAGTTGCGTGGCGAGCAGCTGCTCCTGCCTGTGGTCGTCACATCCTTGTTGGATGTGGTGGAGCCAGTCGAGGTGGGTGGCCAAGTGCCGAGCATTAACTACCAGTGCACTCAAACACCAACAGTCCGGCTCGACATCCAGCTTTACGAGTCAGTCCACGGTTTGCACATCAACTTTGACTATGACAAGAGATGGCTGAGCGAAGATGTGGTGAAGCAGTTGCAGAGGTCCTTCGAGGAGGTGGTTTCGTGAAGTTCAGATCTGCGAGTGGCGTTCCTTACACATCCCAGTATATTATCTTGCGTGAGCTACATGAGGTCCTCCCTCCCTCCCTCCATCCATCTATCCATCTATCTACCCATCTATCCACCTATCCATCCATCCATCCATGCATGCACACATACCTTCGCATGCATATGTCAGGGACAAATCACATGCACATTCGCGCCATACAGGATTGAGACTCTTATATATGCACATGTGCACCTACACTTACGGTGACACTTGCATCCGCCTACATCTGCGACATGTATATATATATATATATATATAACATATATATATATATACATATATATGCAATATAATATACATACAGATATACATGTTTACATGTACTATATACACATGTATATATGTATGTACGTATGTATGTATGTATGTAGACAGGCATATAGGTATGGAGGTATATAGGTAATAGGTATATAGGCATATAGGTATATAGGTATATAGGTATGCAGATATATAGGTGTATATGTATATATGTATGTACATATTCTTATACATATTTATGTTTACTTGTGTATACATATACATATGCATATGTGTAAAGATGTATAGATGTACATAGTATGTATATTTGTTTGTGTATGTATATGTAACTGTTTCTGTATATGCATATATATCTTATGTTGTATGTTTACATATGAATGTATGTATGTATGTGTATGTGTATGTGTATGTATATGTATATGTATATGTATATGTATACGTATATGTATATGTATATGTATATGTATATGTATACGTATACGAATGCGTATACGTATACGTATATGTATATGTATATGTATATGTATATGCATATGTAGATGTATATGTATATGTATATGTATATGTATATGTATATGTATATGTACATGTACATGTATATGTATATGTATATGTATATGTATATGTATATGTATATGTATATGTATGCATACGCGGTCTATATATGTCCATCCAGACATGCGCATATATGGTAACATTCAAGAACGGGCATGCGCACACACGGCTTCCGCCCCATTGAGAAGTGGTATTTATCGCAGGCCCTTTCCGAGCAAGAGCTTCAGGCATCACACAAATGGAAGCAGTGGCAAGTGGAAGAGAACTATGGACACCACAGTCACTTGCTGCACACTCTTGCACTTCCAGCGGCTTGTTTGCATGTTTCAGGTTGCTTCCCAGAGTCCCCAGGCCCCAACGAGCAAAGTGCCAGTTTGCTATGGTTCGAGTGAGGCAGATGCATCAGGAACAGCTGTGCGCAGCCCAGAGATGAACTTGACCTATGCAGACCTCCGGAAAGCCGTTCATCACTTGGCCTGGGAATTGGTCGAAGCCGGGGCCTCTGGCTTCCGCGTGGCAGTAGCGATGCTCAAAGGCTGGGAGGAAGTCGTAGCTTGCCTCGGCACGCTCCAATGTGGTGCGAGCTATGTTCCCCTTGAGATCACGGACGGGCGCTGGCTTTCGGTGCTGAGCAAGGCAGACTGCCACATGCTCTTGATGACCCCGGCCTCCTGCAGCGAGAGCAAGATCCCTCTGAGGCAGCAGCCGGACGTTCAGGTGAAAGAGATTGGAATGGAGTGGTTGCACCAAGCGCTTCAAGCATCAGAATCTCCCCAACATTATCCTGAGATCTCAGCAGGTGATACAGCCTACATCATCTTCACATCCGGATCCACCGGAGAACCGAAAGGAGTGGCAATCTCACACCGTTCCGCTTCGAACACATGCATCAGCGTCAATGAGCTTGTTCGTCTGAACAAGACCGACCGCGTGCCTAGCTTCATGTTGAGCCTTGCATAGCGGCATGATTCTAGAAGATGAGCCCAAAGCGAACCCTGGCCGATCCGTGCAACCGCAGAGCTTTCTGATTCTAAGGTTTTGGCACTGTCGAACCTGAATTTCGATCTCTCTGTGTATGACATCTTTGGGACGCTTGCAGCAGGTGCCACTATTGTTCTGGGCTGTTCCAGCAGATTGAGGGACTATCGCTACCTTTGTGAACTTGTCCTGAAGGAGGAGGTCAGCATTTGGAACTCAGTCCCCTTGAGGTTTGAGTTCCTGCTGCTATGTCCCGCTCTCCAGCATGGTTTTTTTTTCAATCAAGTTTGGCACCACTCTCCTACACGAGTCTTTCTGGACAGTCTTCCCTTTGCATTTTTCAAACTAAGGCTGGAAGAGTGGAATGACCATGCTGAGCGCTTGCCCATCCGTGCGGCCTTGATCAGCGGTGATGCCATCCGCACAAGTTTCGCACAAAAGGCCGGGCACCCGACTGTTGTGGCTCTATAAACCCGCTATGCAGCTGCACCCGAATCTTCGCAGTGACAGCCCCCCCCCCCCCCCCCCGCGCATTCCTGTTGCCAGGTCAAGCTGCGATTTCCGCAAATGAAGTTCCTGGCCTTGGGAGGGGCCACTGAGGCGTCCATATGGAGCAACTGCCACGAGTTCACGGACGACTCGCCCAGTGATCTTCCATTGGTGCTTTATGGAGGGCCTCTACCGAATCAGTGCATGTACGTCCTGGACTTTCTCCTGCGTGTCCGCCCTCCGTATGTCTTGGGCGAGATATTCATTGGAGGTCTAGGAGTTGCAAAGGAGTACTTCAACGATCCGGAGCGCACGAGTTCAGCTTTCATTTTGCACGAGAAGTTTGGTCGCTTGTACAGAACTGGTGATGAAGGTCGGTACCTTCCGAGTGGAGAGATTCAGATCATCGGCCGCATGGACCAACAAGTGAAGGTGAATGGATACCGTGTGGAGCTCGGGGAGATTGAGGCAACAGCCAATCAGGTCTTGAGCGGCGGCCGAGCTGTCGTCGTGGCGAAGCGAGATGCTCAAGGTGTGACACGTCTTCGCGGCTTCTTCTGCTTGGAACCTGGTGCTACAAAGGATGAGAAGGAGGTGAGCTCAGCTGTGCAAACTCACTTGCAAGCCGCTTTGCCCCTGTATATGTGGCCGGAAAGTTGGACTCATTTGCCCGAGATACCGCACAGTTTGAACGGGAAGGTGGACAAGAAGAAGCTTTGGGACCGCAGTTCGAATGCCATCTCGCAACAGCCTCCGGTGAAAGCTGTAGACCCATGTGCATCGCGCGTTCATTACGTGGAAGTCCTGTTGCAGCATTCGAGGGGCCTGCTACAAAAACCGGAATTGGACAAGGATGAGAACCTGGTCAGTGCAGGGATGTCGTCAATTCGCATGAGGGAGTTGAACGTCCGCATTTGCAAGGATCTGGGCATCAAAGTACCTACTCACGCTGTCATGGACCATCCGACCGTGGCGAAGTTTGCAGAGCACTTGCTGGACTTGGGTCGTCCTCCAGCAGAGCCCCAGGATCTTCTGCAGACTCCGAAATTGAGGCTTTTGGAGAGCTCGCGGATGTTGATTTCAGGATTCGCCAACATGTTTCCTAGCAGCTTCAGCAGCCTCTACCGAGGCACCGACTGCCAAACAACCGTACCTCTTAGCCGCTTCGACATCGAGGAATACTTCAGCCCGGATGAAGCCGGGAAGGCGTACACTCGCCATGGTGCCTTTCTTCCTTGCGTGGAAGCCTTCGATCCTGGCAGCTTTAACCTGAGTGATGCTGAGGCTGCAGGAATGGATCCACAACAAAGGCTCGGCCTGACAGTGGCAAAGTCAGCTCTGCCTTCAATGCGCGCTTTCAAGGACTTGGCGGTCTTCGTGGGGCAGATGAATTACGACTCGATGGTTGCAGCCCGGGCGCCAGCCCCCTATGGAAGCACCGGCATCGCACCCTCCATCGTTGCGAATCGCATCAGCTACTGCTTTGATTTGCGGGGTCCGAGCATGTCAGTGGACACAGCCTGCTCATCAAGCCTTGTGGCAGTGTATCTGGCCGCCAGCCATCGCGGGAATTCCCTGGTACTGGGCTCCACTGTCTTGCTGTCGCCGGACATGTACCTCACAGCTTGCAAAGCCGGTATGCTTTCTCGAAAGGGCCGCTGTGCCACCTTGGATCAGAGCGCAAATGGCTTTGCGCGAGGAGAAGGTGTGGCTGCAGTCTTGTTGGCACCAGACTTGGGAAACGCTCTCGAAGACAAGGCCCATCTGCTCAGCGCGGCTGTGAACCAGAGTGGTAAGAACAGTGCAATCACACATCCAAACTCCCATGCCCAAGAAGCGGTGATACGGCGGGCCCTGGGAAATGTTGGAACCTCCGTCATTCGTGCCCATGAACTTCACGGCACAGGGACCCCTCTTGGAGATCCTTTGGAGGCCGAGGCCCTCAGGAGGGTGATGGGCGAGAGGGGCGAGAGCGAGAGGGAGTCCGACGTGGTTCTGCAGGCGCTGAAGACACATTGGGGACATCTTGAGGGGTCAGCGGGCCTGGCTGGCTTTCTCAAGCAGGTCCTGTTGGCCCATAGCCAGGTTGCTGCCCCAAACTTACATCTGCGGCAACTCAATCGGGACGTTGAGCTGCCTGGTGCACGATTGCAGGTTTTTTCTTCTTCATTGTAACCTACGTAGACTTGGACTTCTGTGCTTTGAGAAGTGAGGTTGTCGGGCACCATGGTGCCCACGCTGGAGGCTGTGGGCCTGGAAGCGAGCTCCGGCAAAGTTGCCACGGTGTCTTCCTTCGGCTTTGGTGGCAGCAATGCATGTGCGACCTTGTCCATCTGTTCTGCGAGCCGCTCCAACATTCCCGGATGCCAAGTCACTCGGGTGGGAAAGTTCTTTCCGACTCGCTTCACCCCGGTGAAGCTCACCCGCATGCGTTGGCACAAGGTCCAAGACTCTGTTCTGCGAGTTGCGTTGTCCCTTGAGATCTCGCGACTGGATTTGGGCAGTCATGAAGAAGTTGAGAGATACGCAAACCCAGAGACGTGGCATGCATTGGGTAGCCTTCAGGCTCTTGCCTCTGCATCTTACCTGGTACCCGACGTGTGCCTGCGTGACCGAGGCTGTTCCGCTCGGCATCGCATGCTGGCCAGTGTCAGATGGCTCGCCAGAGCTTGCAGCTCTCGTTGAGAAATGCGCGCGACTTGTCTTGGCCCGTTTGCAGCAGACCGCCGAGGCCACAATGCAGACGGCTCAGCCTTTGATTCTCGCCGGCTTCGGCAAGTTCGCAGAACTTTGTTTCCATGCTGCCGCCAGCATGCTGCGCAGTGCACGGTGTGAGCAGCCATTGACCATGCAGGCGAAGACTTGTTTGGATCAAAGCAATGCGGTCGTTTTGCTCAGCATTTATGGTATCACGGAACATCAGTTCCTCAGGGGTGAGTGTGAGAGAGAGAGAGAGAGAGAGAGAGAGAGAGAGAGAGAGAGAGAGAGAGAGAGAGAGAGAGAGAGAGAGAGTGAGAGAGAGAGAGAGCACAGCGGAGAATCCAGTTGATGGGGAGCAGGGTCATGCTTGCTAGCGGACGTCGCAGGTCGTGCTGGTGGAGGCCAGTGACTGGCAGGAGGTGGCGACGGCTCTCTCCATGATGAGCTTGCCGCCAGCTTCTGAAGAGCCCATCTGCCGTGTGGGGGCCGGGACATTGGAAGTACCTCGGCTGGAAAGGTGGTGGCCCGAGTTGGTGCAGGACTCCGCGATCAGCGTTCGCACCGGCGGCCGCTACGTGATCACTGGTGGCAGTGGTGGATTGGGAACGGCTTGTGCGCAGTGGCTCCTGAACCAAGGTGCCGGCTCCTTGATACTTCTTTCCCGGAGACGCCCGGCCATGTGTGACGGATCTTGCCCGGCCGAGTGGCTGGAATGCGACGTCTCCTTGCCGGCGGCTTTGCAAGAGGCTATAAACCAGATACGCACAGAGGGCCCCGTGCACGGCATCACTCACGCCGCAGGAGTTCTCGCCGACAAACTGCTGGCAGAACAGACCACGGAAGATCTCCATTCGTGCCTGGCCTGCAAGATCGTCCCCGCATTGCTCCTGCCGCAGCTCGAGTGCGCTGATTGGATTGTGAACTTTAGCTCCGTGAGCTCTGTCTTGGGGAGTGCCGGGCAAGTTGCCTACAGCGCGGCCAACGGCTGCCTCGATGGGTTGGGCCAGACAGCCCCCGATCATGCTCCACGCGTGCTCACGATCCAGTGGGGCCCGTGAGCGGAGGGCATGGCCAAGCGTACCGAAGGTGCTTTGCAACATGCTGCACGGAGAGGTTGGACGCCGTTTCCTCGAAACTCCGGCCTAGCAGTCCTAGACCTGTTGCTTCGCTGTGGTGCGCAGGGGGCTATTTGTGCTCTGCACGACGGCGAATGTGGTGCTGGTGGTGATTGTGAAGGTGAACCCAGCGATTTGGTACAAGAGCCGCAGACCTCATCAGCTTCACCCTCCGTGAAGCCGACGGCAGCGGAAGCATCTTACGAGGAAGTGCTGAGCAGGGTGCGGAGGGTTGTTGCACAGACAGCGGAGGATGACACATCCGACACAAGCCCCTTGCATGAGGCCTTGACTTCCCTGAGTGTTACGGAGCTCAGACATCACTTAAAGGAAGAGTTCACGATGGATTTTCCCCAAACGCTGATCTTCTCATTTCCGACAGTGAAAGAGATCGCCGATCACATCAGCGGAGAGTTGAAAGACCCCTGGGTTGAGCTCAGAAGTTCCCATGCAGCTGGCATGGTCTTGTTCCTGCTGGGCGGTGCTGCCGCGGACGTGCAGAAGTCGTTTGGCGACTTTGCCAAAGGTTATAGTGGTCGAGTCTTTGCAGCTATGCCCCCAAGAGCGAGAGACATGACAATGGACCGAATCCTTCAGGATCTTGGACCGTCTCTGAAGCGAAGAATCCGAGACTTGAAGGAACCTTTCGCGATAGGTGGCCTATCCTTTGGGGCCACGGTGGCCATGGAGCTGGCCAGACACTGGGCTGAAGAAGCCCGGTATGTTGTGCTGCTTGACCCACGCAACATACCTCCCTACGCCTTGCCGGCAGCTTCTCTTCGTGAGCCGCTCTGGTACGAACGCATCTGCATCCAGATGGAATCATGCACCCTTCCGATGCCAGCAGTCCATGTCTTCGCAAGCACGGTGTCCCGACACAACGACGGCTTCAAGGCGAGTGCATCTCTAGGTTTCCAGCAGGACGATGAAGTTCATGACCGGCTCGAGAAGATCTTCAACAACGCCATCTTGCGTGTCCCGACAAGCGCGGACCACTTCGAATTCCTAAGTGGTGTGAGTGCCTGCGAGCTTGCGGAGAGGATTGTGGAGGTCATGGAGCTTGAAAAGTTCGATGAAGCACATGAGAAAGTTCCAGATTGTCAGGGGCCCAACATGTGGGCAGAAGTTGCAGGCTTCAGTTGCAACTTTCCAGCAGGACAACAGGGATTCGATGCTGTCCTCCAGTCTTTGCTCCGTGGCAGTGACGGTGTCTCAACAATCCCCTTCTCCAGACTGGACTTGGATGCAAGCTCCGTGTACACCACTCACGCGGCTTGCATCCCAGCGGTGGAGCTCTTTGATCACGAGAGCTTTAAGATCAAGATCCCCGAGGCCCACGCTATGGACCCACAGCAGCGCATACTCTTGGAACAGTCAGCAGTGGCCTTGGGCTCATTGCGCACACATGATCGCCCGCTTAGCCTCGGAGTTTGGGTCGGTCAGGCGAACCATGACTGGCTTTGTCGGAGTTGGCAGAGTACTTCGCCGTTTGCAGCCGGTGGTGCTTCGCCGTCCATCTCTGCAAACAGGCTCAGCTACATCTTCCGGCTTCTCGGCCCGAGTGTTGTGGTGGACACGGCCTGTTCTTCCAGCTTAGTGGCTCTCTGCATGGCTCGGGATGCAGGGGCCGGAGCTCTAGTCGCAGGCACTCATGTGTTTGCTGATGTCCACATGTTCGAAAAAGCTTGCAGCACAACTGCGCTGTCAACTCGTGGCCGCTGCTTCACCTTCGATGCGTCGGCCGATGGCTACAGCCGTGGGGAGGGCGTGGGCGTTCTGAGGCTGCAATCCGGGACGTCTGCCGGTGCAGGCTCGGAGGGAGCTGAGACGCTCTTTGCTTCCGCTTGAAGTGGTGCTGCCAGCTAGTCCTCGACAAGTATCAGGATAAGACTAGGAGGACCCAGAACCCAGACGTCAAGAGCATGTCAGCATGTCTTTCAGGCCTGCTGGGCATCGAGGCCGCCGCCACGAACCACAACGGGCGCAGCGCCAGCCTCACAGCGCCCAACGGCCCCGTGCAGCAAGCTCTCTTCCGCAGGGTTCTGTCGCAGGCTGGCGTGGCGGGTGCGCACGTGGACCTAGTGGAGGTGCATGGCACAGGCACGAAGCTCGGCGACCCCATTGAGGCACAGTCCACGGCTGAGGTTTTCGAGTCGCCTGGCCTCGTCCTTGGAGCGGTGAAGTCGAACATGGGCCACCTCGAGGGGTCTGCAGGTATGGCGGGCATCTTCAAGCTGATCACGGTTCTCCGTTCACAGGTTGCCCCCCCGAACCTGCACATCTACCAGCTCAACCAGCACGTCTCCTACTCCGGCTTCTTCCCCGATGCCCTCATGCAGCTGACCCCGAGCCGCGGCGCCGTCTCCTCCTTCGGCTTTGGGGGCAGCAACGCGCAAGCCATGCTGGTGCCGGGGGAGAAAGGGGAGCACATTGTCGACGCCGGGCCTGCCATGCCAGCTAAGAAGGTCTGGCTGCTGTCTGTGTCTTTGCAGTGCTTCGGTGTTCTTTCCGTGAGCCATGCCCCAGGCCTTCTTGCCCATCCAGCGCTGGCTGAACCCGTTGCTTCGGCGTCGGAGTGGCTTCTGCTTCGACCTGCGACTGGAGCGATGCAGGCAGGCGTTTCAGGACCACGCGGTTGCAGGACAGCTGAGGTACCTATAGCGTAGCAACATGTGGCAAGAGTGTGACAGATGTAGCAGCCGCACAGTGCTGTCGATGCTGGGCACGTGCAGGACGCATCCTGGTGCCGGCCGCAGGCCTGCTGACCATGATGGCCGCCGCGCAGGCAGAAGCAGCACGTGAAGCAGCGCATGCACATCTCAGCAAGCTTTCGGCTCATCTCTCCGACGTCGTCTTCAAGGAGGCTACTCACTTGAAAGCCCCGGTGTCGCTTGAGCTCAAGGGCCAGGAAGTCGTGGTGCGAGCTGCCGAGCGTATCACGGTGGAAGCCGCAGCAGTAACGGTCGGCGACCAGATGCCAAAGCTTCCTGGCGGCGTGGACCTCGCCACCCTCCGTGACGCTTGCACAAATTTGATTGGGACTGAGAGCTTGCAGAGCTTCTATGCCAGTCTTGAAAGGCAAGGTGTGCAGATGGGTGCACGGTTCCGTGTGCTTCAGTCGGTACGCTGCAGTGACATGAGTGCCGTTGCCGAGCTACGACTACCTGCCGCAGCAGAGACTTGGGAACATGCCCTTCAACTTCCGAACTGGAGCCTTTTGGACGGCGGAATTCAGTTGCTGGGCTTCCTGGGGCACGCCCGTGCTGGCGTGTGTATTCCCTTTTCCGTGAAATCATGCTGGCTTGCTGAAGTCCCTCTCAACGGTCGATTGCCCAAGCTGACCGCCTATGCAAGCATCACGTCCCTTGAAGAAGGCACGATCCAAGGAGATGTCGCGCTTGCAGCTGAGAGCGGAGAGGTAGTTGCCGTGGTCACGGGTCTTCTTGCCCGCAGTGTGGCTCCTGTCAATGTGGCTCCTGACGATGTGGAGATGCGCAGGGCTTCGACCGCGGCGGGCAGCTTTCAGGGTTTGGCGGAGGCTGGTGACGAGGACGCGCTGAGGATGCAGGAGGGGGGGATGAACGTTCTTGCCCTCCGATGTTGGAGGGAGCTCCGTGCCGAGCAGCAAATCCAACGCCTGGAGCATTGCTGCGCAGAAGTGTTGGCCACACTGCAGCAGGCAGCCCGCGCAGGTGTGCCGTGGCAGGTGATTGTTGCTGGCGGCGGTCGGTTTGCACAGGCGTGCTTCAGCGCTGCAGCCAGCATGCTGCGCAGTGCCCAATGTGAGCAGGAACTTCATGTGCAGGCGCCTGGTGGTTGGGTTTGTAAGTTGCCTTCCCCAAGCTGTTTGGAAAGTTTAGGCTCTAAGAGGAGCGAGGACCACTTAGACCGTCTTGTAATGCGTGGTACTTTGGCGACCAGGTCGTGCTGGTGGAGGCCAGTGACTGGCAGGAGGTGGCGACGGCTCTCTCCATGATGAGCTTGCCGCCAGCTTCTGAAGAGCCCATCTGCCGTGTGGGGGCCGGGACATTGGAAGTACCTCGGCTGGAAAGGTGGCGGCCCGAGTTGGTGCAGGACGCCGCGATCTGCGTTCGCACCGGCGGCCGCTACGTGATCACTGGTGGCAGTGGTGGATTGGGAACGGCCTGCGTGCAGTGGCTCCTGAACCAAGGTGCCGGCTCCTTGATACTTCTTTCCCGGAGGCGCCCGGCCATGTGTGACGGATCTTGCCCGGCCGAGTGGCTGGAATGCGACGTCTCCTTGCCGGCGGCTTTGCAAGAGGCCATAAACCAGATACGGACAGGGGGCCCTGTGCACGGCATCATTCACGCCGCGGGAGTTCTCGCCGACAAGCTGCTGGCAGAACAGACCGCAGAAGATCTCCATTCGTGCCTGGCCTGCAAGATCGTCCCCGCATTGCTCCTGCCGCAGCTCGAGTGCGAGGATTGGATTGTGAACTTTAGCTCCGTGAGCTCTGTCTTGGGGAGTGCCGGGCAAGTTGCCTACAGCGCGGCCAACGGCTGCCTCGATGGGTTGGGCCAGACAGCTCCGGATCATGCTCCACGCGTGCTCACGATCCAGTGGGGCCCGTGGGCGGAGGCTGGGTGAATGTTCATTGTTGTTGTGGTGGGTGCATGCTGTGCATACTGTGTCCGTCAGTTTTTGGCTTGCACATGTCCTTCGTGCGTCTGAGGCAGGCATGGCTGCTAGGCCGCAGGCCTTGCGCCGGGCACGGCAGCACGGCTTCGGTGCCTTCAAGACGGACCAGGGCATCGCCATCTTGGAGCAACTCTTGACTCGGAATGTGCAGGGCCATGTGTGTGCAGTCCAAATCAGCTGGGAGCATTTCCACTGGCCTGGCCACGCGGCGGCGGCTCTCACATCGCGCTTTAAGCTTGGCCTCCAGTCGCGACAACCAATGGTGGCTAATTACAGCGGAACCCCAGCAGTCAGAAGCCAGGCCCTCGGCGAGTGAGCTTTAACTTTGAACGGAATTCATTAGCCACCACTGCAACCCTCTCAAGCTTCGCTGTGTAAGGCGAGATCACTTCTCCAGAGGCTCCTTGCCAAGCTACTGGGACACATGCCCGAGGCCGACCAGCCACTGATGGATGCAGGGCTGGATTCTCTTCTGGCGGTAGATCTCGCAAACCAGGTTTCCTTGCAACTTGCTCGACGGCTCCCATCCACCTGGGCCTTTGACCACCCGACCGTGAATGCTATGGTGCGCGGGCTGGCCGAAACGACGGCGATGCGGATGGAGACGCTGCCAGAGCCAGGCAGAGCAGCAGCATCTGTGACTGTGTCATCCGCGCGATGCCTGTTACCCAATTGCCCCAGCTTCTTTGAGGGCGAGGACTGCATCGTGCGAATGCCGTATGCCCGCATGGATCTCGATGCTTGCTTTGACTCTGAGGGTTCGCAGGGCATGTCTTACACAATGCATGCTGCATGCATGGCCGGAGTCGAGCTTTTCGATGGTGAGCACTTTGGAATCAAGCTTCCTGAAGCAAGCATGATGGACCCGCAACAGCGGCTCCTTTTGCAGGCGGCTAGGGCAGCGGGGTGCGATCTGCTTAATGACTCAGATGCTGCGGTTATCATTGGGCAAGCGAATCACGACTGGGCATCGGAAGCTCATTCTTCCAGTCCTTTTCTTGGCACGGGCGTGTCGCCAGCCATCACGAGTAATCGCATCAGCTTTCATTTCTCTTTGAAAGGACCAAGCATGACCATTGACACCGCTTGTTCATCCAGCCTTGTAGCGCTGGCAGTCGCCCTGAGCCTGCCCGGCCCTGCACTGATGGGCGCCACGCACGTCATGACGAGCACCCTGCCATTTATCGGCTGTTGCCAAGCTCAGATGCTATCTAAGCGTGGCCGCTGCCTCACCTTCGATGCGTCGGCCGATGGCTACAGCCGTGGGGAGGGCGTGGGCGTTCTCAGGCTGCAATCCGGGACGTCTGCCGGTGCAGGCTCGGAGGGAGCTGAGACGCTTTTTGCTTCCGCTTGAAGTGGTGCTGCCAGCTAGTCCTCGACAAGTATCAGGATAAGACTAGGAGGACCCAGAACCCAGACGTCAAGAGCATGTCAGCATGTCTTTCAGGCCTGCTGGGCATCGAGGCCGCCGCCACGAACCACAACGGGCGCAGCGCCAGCCTCACAGCGCCCAACGGCCCCGTGCAGCAAGCTCTCTTCCGCAGGGTTCTGTCGCAGGCTGGCGTGGAGGGTGCGCACGTGGACCTAGTGGAGATGCATGGCACAGGCACGAAGCTCGGCGACCCCATTGAGGCACAGTCCACGGCTGAGGTTTTCGAGTCGCGTGGCCTCGTCCTTGGAGCGGTGAAGTCGAACATGGGCCACCTCGAGGGGTCTGCAGGTATGGCGGGCATCTTCAAGCTGATCACGGTTCTCCGTTCACAGGTTGCCCCCCCGAACCTGCACATCTACCAGCTCAACCAGCACGTCTCCTACTCCGGCTTCTTCCCCGATGCCCTCATGCAGCTGACCCCGAGCCGCGGCGCCGTCTCCTCCTTCGGCTTTGGGGGCAGCAACGCGCAAGCCATGCTGGTGCCGGGGGAGAAAGGGGAGCACATTGTCGACGCCGGGCCTGCCATGCCAGCTAAGAAGGTCTGGCTGCTGTCTGTGTCTTTGCAGTGCTTCGGTGTTCTTTCCGTGAGCCATGCCCCAGGCCTTCTTGCCCATCCAGCGCTGGCTGAACCCGTTGCTTCGGCGTCGGAGTGGCTTCTGCTTCGACCTGCGACTGGAGCGATGCAGGCAGGCGTTTCAGGACCACGCGGTTGCAGGACAGCTGAGGTACCTATAGCGTAGCAACATGTGGCAAGAGTGTGACAGATGTAGCAGCCGCACAGTGCTGTCGATGCTTGGCACGTGCAGGACGCATCCTGGTGCCGGCCGCAGGCCTGCTGACCATGATGGCCGCCGCGCAGGCAGAAGCAGCACGTGAAGCAGCGCATGCACATCTCAGCAAGCTTTCGGCTCATCTCTCCGACGTCGTCTTCAAGGAGGCTACTCACTTGAAAGCCCCGGTGTCGCTTGAGCTCAAGGGCCAGGAAGTCGTGGTGCGAGCTGCCGAGCGTATCACGGTGGAAGCCGCAGCAGTAACGGTCGGCGACCAGATGCCAAAGCTTCCTGGCGGCGTGGACCTCGCCACCCTCCGTGATGCTTGCACAAATTTGATTGGGACTGAGAGCTTGCAGAGCTTCTATGCCAGTCTTGAAAGGCAAGGTGTGCAGATGGGTGCACGGTTCCGTGTGCTTCAGTCGGTACGCTGCAGTGACATGAGTGCCGTTGCCGAGCTACGACTACCTGCCGCAGCAGAGACTTGGGAACATGCCCTTCAACTTCCGAACTGGAGCCTTTTGGACGGCGGAATTCAGTTGCTGGGCTTCCTGGGGCACGCCCGTGCTGGAGTGTGTATTCCCTTTTCCGTGAAATCATGCTGGCTTGCTGAAGTCCCTCTCAACGGTCGATTGCCCAAGCTGACCGCCTATGCAAGCATCACGTCCCGTGAAGAAGGCACGATCCAAGGAGATGTCGCGCTTGCAGCTGAGAGCGGAGAGGTAGTTGCCGTGGTCACGGGTCTTCTTGCCCGCAGTGTGGCTCCTGTCAATGTGGCTCCTGACGACGTGGAGATGCGCAGGGACTCGTACAAGATATCTTGGCTGAAACAAGAAGGGCGGGCTTCGACCGCGGCGGGCAGCTTTCAGGGTTTGGCGGAGGCTGGTGACGAGGACGCGCTGAGGACGGAGGAGGGGGGGAGGAACATTCTTGCCCTCCGATGTTGGAGGGAGCTCCCTGCCGAGCAGCAAATCCAACGCCTGGAGCATTGCTGCGCAGAAGTGTTGGCCACACTGCAGCAGGCAGCCCGCGCAGGTGTGCCGTGGCAGGTGATTGTTGCTGGCGGCGGTCGGTTTGCACAGGCGTGCTTCAGCGCTGCAGCCAGCATGCTGCGCAGTGCCCAATGTGAGCAGGAACTTCATGTGCAGGCGCCTGGTGGTTGGGTTTGTAAGTTGCCTTCCCCAAGCTGTTTGGAAAGTTTAGGCTCCAAGAGAGGAGCGAGGACCACTTAGACCGTCTTGTAATGCGTGGTACTTTGGCGACCAGGTCGGTGGAGGCCAGTGACTGGCAGGAGGTGGCGACGGCTCTCTCCATGGTGAGCTTGCCGCCAGCTTCTGAAGAGCCCATCTGCCGTGTGGGGGCCGGGACATTGGAAGTACCTCGGCTGGAAAGGTGGTGGCCCGAATTGGTGCAGGACGCCGCGATCTGCGTTCGCACCGGCGGCCGCTACGTGATCACTGGTGGCAGTGGTGGATTGGGAACGGCCTGTGCAAAGTGGCTCCTGAACCAAGGTGCCGGCTCCTTGATACTTCTTTCCCGGAGGCGCCCGGCCATGTGTGACGGATCTTGCCCGGCCGAGTGGCTGGAATGCGACGTCTCCTTGCCGGCGGCTTTGCAAGAGTCCATGGACCGGATACGGACAGGGGGCCCTGTGCACGGCATCATTCACGCCGCGGGAGTTCTCGCCGACAAGCTGCTGGCAGAACAGACCGCAGAAGATCTCCATTCGTGCCTGGCCTGCAAGATCGTCCCCGCATTGCTCCTGCCGCAGCTCGGGTGCGAGGATTGGATTGTGAACTTTAGCTCCGTGAGCTCTGTCTTGGGGAGTGCCGGGCAAGTTGCCTACAGCGCGGCCAACGGCTGCCTCGATGGGTTGGGCCAGACAGCCCCCGATCATGCTCCACGCGTGCTCACGATCCAGTGGGGCCCGTGGGCGGAGGCTGGGTGAATGTTCGTTGTTGTTGTGGTGGGTGCATGCTGTGCATACTGTGTCCGTCAGTTTTTGGCTTGCACATGTCGTTCGTGCGTCTGAGGCAGGCATGGCTGCTAGGCCGCAGGCCTTGCACCGGGCACGGCAGCACGGCTTCGGTGCCTTCAAGACGGACCAGGGCATCGCCATCTTGGAGCAACTCTTGACTCGGAATGTGCAGGGCCATGTGTGTGCAGTCCAAATCAGCTGGGAGCATTTCCACTGGCCTGGCCACGCGGCGGCGGCTCTCACATCGCGCTTTAAGCTTGGCCTCCAGTCGCGACAACCAATGGTGGCTACAGCGGAACCCCAGCAGTCAGAAGCCAGGCCCTCGGCGAGTGAGCTTTAACTTTGAACGGAAGACGTTCTCCGCGGGCGGACAGAGTTGTCTTTGATTTATAGTCGCCCATAGAGGCGACGCGAAACGTAGGAATTTCAAATTTTACAACTTATTTAAAATCCGTGCGCTCTTGATTTCATGTCACACTTTTACTTTGACGTGTAATCAGTTGTTCGAGTGCAAAAGCCTTTGGCCTAAGTTCAGTGTGTCCGTAGGTCACGTGTCAGCACATGCACATAGCTGGGAAACACATTGCAGTGACCGTTGACTGAACAATTTTTCTCGTCCCATGGACTTCGGCGACGCCCTCGCCGCTGGTTCTTCAGGCCGTTCCGAGGAGAGCTCTACCAGCACCCGCGAGCTTCACAGTCAGCACATTTACGAGCTCCAATTGGAGGTCAACGCCCTCCGTGCTGAAATTCAGACTCTCAGGTCCGCATTGCAGGCTTTGGAAGAGTCCCTTGCTCGTGCCTGGGTGAACCAGACCGGCCACCACCAACGTCTCTCGTGGCTCGAAGGGATTATTCAGAGCTTGAGGACTGCCTGTCGGGTGTTTCTTGAGCCAGGCGTGCAGTCTGCCTCAGACCTGCCATAATTTTGACCTTTGCTGACTTTTCAATTGGGATATGGCGGGTCAGCCTAACTCAGACGCTTTGCTTGGGCCATCCGAATTTCATGCGGCCTTGGTCGCTGCCGAGAGGCCGCTTGTTCTGGATGCTCAGTCTCTTCTCATCAAGGACTTGTCTTGGCACATAAAGGTGGGCGAGGCGTCTCGAAAGACTCCTCTTCTCCCTTGGGAGACGGGTCCCCTTTCTTGGATCTTTGGTAGGCCACTCAAGAGGCCGCGTCTGGAGCTACCTCGGGACCTGTCTCCCGATTCAGGATCTGCTGTTGATGCGGGGGTGCCTCTGGTGCATCCACAGCCGGTGCCCAACTTTGCAAGGGAGCGTCTTAGGATTGCAGCTCTCCTGGCTACAGACGACAGTTCTCGCTGGGAAGCTCTGAGGAAGTTCAGGACGCTGGTTTTGCTTGACCCGGCGCTGTCTCAGGTGGGGCAGTCACTTGCGGCTGAGGCTTTGATTCTGCGAGACGGCGATCAGATGAGGCGAACTTTCTTGGATGTCTTCCATGGCAAGAGTACAGCTACCTTAGTGAAGAGAGCCTCGTCGCTTTGGAGGTTTGCCAACTTTTGTTTTGACAATGGTCTGGGAAATCCGCTCGGGGCTGGCGAGAAGGTTCTGTACCGATACATGTCGCACCTCGAGGAACATGGCAAGCCGACATCCGCCTCGGCTTTCCTTCAGGCCTGGAACTTCGCTGTCCACACTTTGAAGCTCTGTAGCCCGGACGCTTTGGGGGCCTTGTCTGCTAGAGTGAAGGGTGCTGCGCAGCGCATGTACTCCTTGAAGAGGAAGCTTGTTCAGGCAGTACCTTTGACAGTGAAGCAGGTGAAAGGCCTGGAGTACGTGGTCCTGAAGTCCCCGTACCCCCATTGGCGAATCATTGCGGGTCACCTCTTGATGTGCATAGGGTCTAGCTGCCGATTCGCCGATTCCTTGCAGCTGACCAGCCTCAAGGTCAGCACTGCTCAGGGTGTTACCCTGGTTGAGGCAGAGAGCTCGAAGTGGAAGACGGCTTCGAGGAAGGACCAGCTCCTTCCTTTGGCCTCCTTGGGAAAGTTCTTCGCTGAGGAGTCGTGGGGAGAAGTTTGGGCTAAGGAGCGCGAGGCTGCTGGTCTTGGCCTCGGCCCGGCGCTCCCGGCTTTCTCCGAGGTGACTGGTGAGTGGCTTAACCGTCCTATGTCCACGGGGGAGGCCACTTGTTATCTTAGGGAGTTCATGACCGCGGCTTCCCAGATGACTGCTGGTTTAGGGTGTCATTCTCTGAAGTGCACTGTCTTGTCTTGGGCTGCAAAATCCACGGATGTCCCTCTCGCTGATCGACGTTTGCTGGGGCATCACATAGATCCGGGAGTGGTGTCGCCGCTTACTTATGCGAGGGACGAGCAGACCCGACTCATGAAGGTAGTTCATCTTTTGGTGGAAAAGATCAGGAAAGGAGCCTTCAAGCCGGATGCCTCGAAGGTCTGGCGCCTCGCGAAGCTGATTGAGTCTGGTGGCACGGAGCTGCTTATTGAACAGACTGTGCAAGGCGATCCCTCTATGGAGGAGTCCGATGACGAGGAAGGCGACTTCGGCGACGGGGACATGGCCGCTGGAGGAGCGTGCGCCTCGATGGAGCGATTGAGTGCAGCTGAGCTGGACATTGCTAAAGATAGTCGGATGCATGTCTACTCGAGGGTGGTGCACATCCTGAAAGGATCCAAGTTCCTATGTGGGAGGAACCTCTCTCCAAACTATGAGGCCATCGATCCGGATGTTCCCCTCCGAGACTTGCCGGTATGCGCTCAGTGCTCGCAGAAGTACCAGCAGTGATTTTGGGATCGAGGGGTGAGTTCTGTGTCAGAGTCCGAAATTTTGTCGTGTGTTCCTGGGCCTGACCTGGCGGAGCCCCAATTGGGCGTTGACCGCTGGGCGTTGAGGGCGCAAGAGCAGGAACAAACTCGCCAGACAATTCGAGCCTCACCTTTGCCAGACCTGGCGGAGTCCCCCTACTGGGGGCGTTGGCCGTTGGGCGTCGAGGGCGTAAAGGGTGGAGATTTGAGCCTCACCTTATCCTGACCTAACGGAGACCCCACGTCGGGGCGTTGTCCGTTGGGCGTCGAGGGCGTAAGGTCGTGGGGCGCTCTTCACTTTGGGCATTCCGTGGCCTCACCACAGTAACAGTGTGACCTTGTCTCGCGCGAAAGGAATTATGACTGCAGGCGCGAGTGGGGCAGGCAGTCCTACGGGCGTTGTGCCGAGCTCTTGGTGGTTCTGATTCTCTGAGCTGCATCCAAAGTTGCCTTGCTGACGACAGTCCTGACTTGTTGGCTAGAGCGAGGAAGAGCGCAGTTCAGGCCGTCCTTGAAGGACGGGACAGTAGCAGCCATGAATTCGACAATTGACAGCGAAGCCACGTTCGCTGCCCGGGCCACCGAGCTCGGCATGGAGCGCGCTCTCTTGGATTTGCTTGTGAACAACAACGTGAAGACGATGGGCGCGCTAGCCTTTGTGAGCCCCTATCAAATCGGTCAAGCAGATGAGAAACCTCTTCTTGAAGCCCTCAAAGCCCTGATAGGGCGCGACTTGACCGCGAAGGAGCTGATCCCAGTCAGGCGGTTGTGGTTTGAAGCCTCGACCACAGTGATGGGGGAGTTGAAGCAGAAAGTAGAAAGAAATGACTCTGCTGAACCAGTTCGTCTAGCCATAGCGGAAAGAACAACACGTCTGGATGAGCAGAAAAAGCGCCTTGTGGGCGTGTGCATCAACAGTGAGTCTGAACCTTCTCACCGCCTTGTGGATGTTGTCTTCCAGCAGGGCGCGGATCAGCAGCTGACGTGGTTGCCTTGGGAGAAGTTGACAAGTCGGGCTCATGAGTTGACGCATTCTCGCTCCGACAACGCCATCCTGTTTGATGCTCAGGGCAACATGAGGCTGACTAAGAAGATGCAGGAGAGCCAGTGTACTCTGACAGGTGAGCTCCAAGCTCGACAAGCGCTTCAGAGGCGCGCGTTGGCGTATGACCTCGCCCGCTTGTGTGACTATGCTGTCATGGAAACCTACCATGAGGAGTTGTTCCAGCTCCTCACTCGGCCTCCACCTCCCAATGCCCTCTACGTCTCAATGGGCCAAATTCGAGAAGCTGATAAGCACTTGTTCATCAGGATCGCAGAGCAAACCCGGGGCTCTCTCACGGCTCGCCCGGATGGTGCTAAGCCTTTGCAACAGCAGCTCGAGCTTCTCAAGAACCATCCTCAGGTGCAGTTCTTCTTGATGCCACCGCAGAAGCCTCTCCGCTACTCTCCTTATGATGGCAAAGGGGAGGGCAAGAAGGGAGCTGGAGGCAAGGGAAAAGGGAAAGCATCGACCGGTGCTCCCGCAGGAGGGGCGGCGCAAGTGGACCTCCCATCTGGATGCAGTGCCAAACACAATGGCAAGCCAATATGCTTTGCGTACAACAGGGCGGGCTGTAAGTTTGCCAAGGATGGCAAGCGGTGCAGACGAGGTTTCCATATATTTGGAAGTGTTTCAAGGAGCACAGCTATAGCGCTTGCCCGCTCGGCGGGGCCTGACTCGGTGGTGACACTTCTGAGGCTTCGGTGCATGACGCTGCTCCCCGTCTTCAAGCGACGGCCCTTCTCGACATTTTCGAGTCGCTGCCTAATGAGGTTGCGCCTCGCCCTGGATCGACTTCTTCAACGAAGGTGTTTCAAGCTGGGGCCTACATTTTCGGTGTGCTGGCCGGTCTACGCCGGTCTTGCGCCTTGCATGCTGAGAGTATCAAACCCTTTTGCCGTTTTGTAGTGGAAAACACTCCTGAGGAGTTTGTTTTCAGTAACATTGCTGTCTTTGCGAACTTACGGACTGAGATGCACCTAGATCCTAATAATCTGGAGGGCACTTTGAACTTTGCCATTGCCCTGTCTTCCTTCGAAAGCGGACAGATTCGACTTGAAGGCGGGCCGCAGGGTTCTGAGGCCCTTTTGGATGTCAAGCCAGGCGTCTTCTTTGATGCCCGGACTCGACGCCACGGGACCTGTGACTGGACAGGTCAGCGAGTCGTTCTTGTGGCATTCAGCCTCAGGGGCTCCGATCGCCTTTCTGCAAAGGACGCCCAGACCCTAGCATCCCTAGGGTTTAGGCCCCCTTACCCGGGTGTAAATAATCTGCATTTGGCAAGCCAGCTTTCAACGTCAGATGCGCTGGCGCATGTCTCTGCAGCTTCGCCCGGCTTTCCTCCTGTGCCTCCGAATGCTCCTGCCTTTGTTGAGGTGTTCGCTGGCTGTGCTCGCTTGTCAGCTACGTTCGCCCGGGTTGGTTTCAAGGTCATGCCCTTTGATGGCCCTCGGAACCCGCATCAGCCTGAGCATCCTGTGTGCACGCTTGACCTGACATTGCCGATTTGCCAACAGATCTTCTTGAGCCGCCTCGAGAATTCCAGTGTCTTCTTGATTCACTTTGGGTTGCCTTGTGGCACAGGATCGCGTGCCCGCGAGGCGCCACTTCCCCAACATCTGCGAGCCAGTGGTGCTCCTCAGCCTCGCCCGCTCCGAGACCATGTGCACGTCTTGGGCCTCCCTTCCTTGAGTCCTCAACAGTCTGCTAGAGTGGAGGCCGCCAACCGACTGGCCGAGTTCGTGGTGCAGGTGCTTGTGCGAGCACATGATCGAGGCTGGCGCATTGTCATCGAGAACCCCGTTCGTTCTTGGATGTGGAGTGTTCTAGCCCACTTTGTGCGCGCGCTTGACAAGCCTCGCTTTCGGTCATGGTACTCCGAGCTGTTCACTTTTGATTTTGATCAATGCTGCTGGGGCGGTCGCCGTCGCAAAACTTCCAGGTTCTTGACCAATGTGCCCGAGCTTCGCTCCTTGGTGGCTTCTTGTCAAAATGATCACCCTCACGAGCCGTACCGCATCTTCAGAGGTGCGGCCTCTTCTTGGAAATTCGACACAGCTTCCGAGGCCGAGTATCCTTTGCCTTTGTGCGAACAGTACGTTCGCCTCTTGTGCCCGCTGGTCAATGCCCAGCCGCCCAACCTGCCTAGGCCTTTGGTTCGTCAGGTTCATCGGAAGCCTCCTGTCGTGCCTGAGTACAAATCCTTCACAAATGTCCGCCCTGAAAGTGGTGAGTTTCGCGAGCTCGCTTCAGATCGGGGTGTTGGCGGGAGCAGCTCAACTCAGGGCTCCACGTTTGGAGTCTTTCACTCTAAGGGTGAGTTCCTTGAGAAGGCGCTGGAAGTTGAGCACCCCTTTGATTCCGCCTTTGCCATTGACGATCAGACCAAAAGGAACGTCTTCGAGTTGCTCACCATGGGTCTCCTGGGCCCTGCTCGCAGGCGGATGGACACTCAGAAAAAGCTTTCAGCGTTGAAGCGTGAGCTTGCCGTCGAGGAGAAGCGTTTTCACGCCTCCCTTCCGGAGCACGCCCAAAAGGTGCTCAAGGGGAAGAACATCTTGTTGTGGAAGAAGCTCCTTGAGGAGACCGGGTTCCCAGACATCACGGTCGCTGAGCTCATGGAGGGCGTCCCACTGGTCGGTAGGCCTAGTAAGTCTTCCTTGTATGGGTGGAAGGAGCAGCCGGCGACCACAACGTTGGATGATCTTCTTGTTTCCTCCGTGTGGAGGAACCCTGCTCTGGCGGCGAAGGGCAGAGTTGGGGACGACCCCGTCCTAGCCGAGAAAATCTGGCAGGCTACACTTTCGGAGGTGGAGAGGGGCTTCATCTCGGGGCCCTACGATTCGGAAGAGGACGTTAAGAAGGCCCTTGGAGTCTCTCACATCTGCTGCAGCCGGCGCTTTGGGGTGAAGCAAGGTGCAGGCGATGCTTTGAAGTATCGCCCCATCGACGACTTCAAGGAGAGTGCCATAAATTCTGCCTACCACGCGGTGGATCGCTTGCAGCTGCATGACGTCGACTACTTTGTTTCCTTGATAAGGTTTCTGGCGAACTCCGTGGACGACTCGGGTGCAGTCAATGTCGAGCTGTCCGACGGGACAGTGCTGAGTGGGGCTGTGCACAGTGACTTTCGATCGGGGCGGCGCTGGCTTGGAAGGTGTCTCGATCTGGAAAAGGCGTATAAGCAGGTTCCCATATTGGCCGCTCACTTGCCCCTAGCCGTCATAATGGTATGGGACCCGAACACCAGCCGCAACAGATATTTTACCACTTGGAGCATGCCGTTCGGCGCATGCGCGGCCGTGTTTGGATTCAATCGCATATCCAGGTCGCTCTTACATCTGGCATCGCACCTTTGCGCCGTCATAGGAGGCGTGTATTTTGATGATTATCCTATGATTGAGCCTGCTGAGTCTTCTAGGATGTGCAGCCTCTCGGTGGAAACCCTGCTTGACTCCTTGGGATGGTCTTATGCCGTCGGTGACGACAAGGGTCAGCCTTTTGAGGAAACCTTCAACCTCCTTGGCATGCGGCTGGGCGTTTCTAGAATCATGGATGACATCCTCGAGCTCGAGAACAAGCCCAGCCGGGTCCAGAAGCTCGTTGAGGCAGCCAGGAGAATGGCTGCGAGTGGGGTTGTGAGCAAGAGTGACTCTGCATCCCTTCATGGCCAACTGAACTTCATGGTGGGCTTCGCTTCCGGCCGTTCCTTGAAATTTGCTGCGCGAGCCTTGTCAAACCTTTATCACTTTCCACGGGATCAGCCTGACGAGGAGGTGAAGTCCTTGGGCCGCTACCTTGAGTCTGCGCTTTTGAGCTTGGAGCCCAAGGTCATCAGGCTGAGGTCAGGCGGGAGGCCGGTGTCAGTCTTCAGCGACGCCTCTTACGAAGATGGCGTGGCGGCATGGGGCATTGTCTTGGCAGACCCTGTCTCTGGTGAGAGGCTGGTAGCTGGCGGGATTGTAGATGATCGCCTTGTGCAGTTTTGGCTTGATGAAGGAGTTGAACAAGTCATTTCACAGGCCGAGGCCTTTGCTTTGGTTCTGGCAAGGAGAGCTTTCAAGGACCACCTGCAGTGCCGCAGATGCGTGTTCTATGTCGACAATGATGCGGTGCGCTATGTATGCATTAAGGCGAGCAGTCCGAGCCGAACCCTCCTCTCCTTGGCCTGCTCCTTTTACGCCAGTGAGTCTCATGACGGAGTCATTTCATGGCTGGAGCGTGTTCCTTCTGCTAGCAATATCGCTGATCTCCCTAGCAGGGGAGAATGCGCTGAGGCGGCAAAGCTGATAGGAGGCAAGATTGTCGACTGCAGTCAGATTGCATCGGACCTGACTTCGGAAATTTTGTCCGTGGATGATCTTCCGTGGAGCCTTCTCGCTACGTCCTACAAGGACAAAGCACCTCCGATCTTCTTGTGACTGCATTCGGACGTCTGCTGGGGAATGACGGGTCCGTTGAAGGAAACAGGTTCGCCTGTGTTATCCTTGGATCGTCGGTGGTGCACATGTTTCTCCCCTTGATCTGATCGCAGTCCGAAGGTGCCAAAATAGCGAAGGTGTCCGAGTGATTGCAAGTGAAGCTTCAATATTTGAAGATTGCTTCTTTTTTATAACATATGATTGATTGGGCTATGCCCGAATATATGATTGTTTTTAACCACGTTTCGTAAATCACTAAGACGACGTTCTCCGCGGGCGGACAGAGTTGTCTTTGATTTATAGTCGCCCATAGAGGCGACGCGAAACGTAGGAATTTCAAATTTTACAACTTATTTAAAATCCGTGCGCTCTTGATTTCATGTCACACTTTTACTTTGACGTGGAATCAGTTGTTCGAGTGCAAAAGCCTTTGGCCTAAGTTCAGTGTGTCCGTAGGTCACGTGTCAGCACATGCACATAGCTGGGAAACACATTGCAATGACCGTTGACTGAACAATTTTTCTCCCGCCCACCCGCCCGGGAATGACGGGTCCGTTGAAGGAAACAGGTTCGCCTGTGTTATCCTTGGATCGTCGGTGGTGCACATGTTTCTCCCCTTGATCTGATCGCAGTCCGAAGGTGCCAAAATAGCGAAGGTGTCCGAGTGATTGCAAGTGAAGCTTCAATATTTGAAGATTGCTTCTTTTTTATAACATATGATTGATTGGGCTATGCCCGAATATGTGATTGTTTTTAACCAAGTTTCGTAAATCACTAAGACTTCATTAGCCACCACTGCAACCCTCTCAAGCTTCGCTGTGTAAGGCGAGATCACTTCTCCAGAGGCTCCTTGCCAAGCTACTGGGACACATGCCCGAGGCCGACCAGCCACTGATGGATGCAGGGCTGGATTCTCTTCTGGCGGTAGATCTCGCAAACCAGGTTTCCTTGCAACTTGCTCGACGGCTCCCATCCACCTGGGCCTTTGACCACCCGACCGTGAATGCTATGGTGCGTGGGCTGGCCGAAACGACGGCGATGCGGATGGAGACGCTGCCAGAGCCAGGCAGAGCAGCAGCATCTGTGACTGTGTCATCCGCGCGATGCCTGTTACCCAATTGCCCCAGCTTCTTTGAGGGCGAGGACTGCATCGTGCGAATGCCGTATGCCCGCATGGATCTCGATGCTTGCTTTGACTCTGAGGGCTCGCAGGGCATGTCTTACACAATGCATGCTGCATGCATGGCCGGAGTCGAGCTTTTCGATGGTGAGCACTTTGGAATCAAGCTTCCTGAAGCAAGCATGATGGACCCGCAACAGCGGCTCCTTTTGCAGGCGGCTAGGGCAGCGGGGTGCGATCTGCTTAATGACTCAGATGCTGCGGTTATCATTGGGCAAGCGAATCACGACTGGGCATCGGAAGCTCATTCTTCCAGTCCTTTTCTTGGCACGGGCGTGTCGCCAGCCATCACGAGTAATCGCATCAGCTTTCATTTCTCTTTGAAAGGACCAAGCATGACCATTGACACCGCTTGTTCATCCAGCCTTGTAGCGCTGGCAGTCGCCCTGGGCCTGCCCGGCCCTGCACTGATGGGCGCCACGCACGTCATGACGAGCACCCTGCCGTTTATCGGCTGTTGCCAAGCTCAGATGCTATCTAAGCGTGGCCGCTGCTTCACCTTCGATGCGTCGGCCGATGGCTACAGCCGTGGGGAGGGCGTGGGCGTTCTCAGGCTGCAATCCGGGACGTCTGCCGGTGCAGGCTCGGAGGGAGCTGAGACGCTCTTTGCTTCCGCTTGAAGTGGTGCTGCCAGCTAGTCCTCGACAAGTATCAGGATAAGACTAGGAGGACCCAGAACCCAGACGTCAAGAGCATGTCAGCATGTCTTTCAGGCCTGCTGGGCATCGAGGCCGCCGCCACGAACCACAACGGGCGCAGCGCCAGCCTCACAGCGCCCAACGGCCCCGTGCAGCAAGCTCTCTTCCGCAGGGTTCTGTCGCAGGCTGGCGTGGAGGGTGCGCACGTGGACCTATAGTGGAGATGCATGGCACAGGCACGAAGCTCGGCGACCCCATTGAGGCACAGTCCACGGCTGAGGTTTTCGAGTCGCCTGGCCTCGTCCTTGGAGCGGTGAAGTCGAACATGGGCCACCTCGAGGGGTCTGCAGGTATGGCGGGCATCTTCAAGCTGATCACGGTTCTCCGTTCACAGGTTGCCCCCCCGAACCTGCACATCTACCAGCTCAACCAGCACGTCTCCTACTCCGGCTTCTTCCCCGATGCCCTCATGCAGCTGACCCCGAGCCGCGGCGCCGTCTCCTCCTTCGGCTTTGGGGGCAGCAACGCGCAAGCCATGCTGGTGCCGCGAGAGTTGACACATCCTCCATGTGGAAAGGTCAGCCTGCGCTCGGCCAAGATTTATTATTGTCCCTGCAATGGACCAACAGCTGAGCACTTGTACACGTGCCGGTGGAGTAACGTCCGCAATCTGGAGCATGCTGATGGCATCTTGGTAGCGGGCAAACTTTTTTCGCACGTCGTTCAGTCGGAGACTTCTGACGAGGACGCGCTGAGGACGCAGGAGGGGGGGATGAACGTTCTTGCCCTCCGATGTTGGAGGGAGCTCCGTGCCGAGCAGCAAATCCAACGCCTGGAGCATTGCTGCGCAGAAGTGTTGGCCACACTGCAGCAGGCAGCCCGCGCAGGTGTGCCGTGGCAGGTGATTGTTGCTGGCGGCGGTCGGTTTGCACAGGCGTGCTTCAGCGCTGCAGCCAGCATGCTGCGCAGTGCCCAATGTGAGCAGGAACTTCATGTGCAGGCCAGGCGCCTGGTGGTTGGGTCTGTAAGGTAGGTTGCCTTCTCAAAGCTGTTTAATCTTGGATTGTTTAGACTCTAGAGAAGAGCGAGGACCACTTAGACCGTCTTGTAATGCGTGGTACTTCGGCGACCAGGTCGTGCTGGTGGAGGCCAGCGACTGGCAGGAGGTGGCGACAGCTCTCTCCATGATGAGCCTGCCGCCAGCTTCTGAAGAGCCCGTCTGCCGTGTGGGGGCCGGGACAGTGGAAGTACCTCGGCTGGAAAGGTGGCGGCCCGAGTTGGTGCAGGACTCCGCGATCAGCGTTCGCACCGGCGGCCGCTACGTGATCACTGGTGGCAGTGGTGGATTGGGAACGGCTTGTGCGCAGTGGCTCCTGAACCAAGGTGCCGGCTCCTTGATACTTCTTTCCCGGAGGCGCCCGGCCATGTGTGACGGATCTTGCCCGGCCGAGTGGCTGGAATGCGACGTCTCCTTGCCGGCGGCTTTGCAAGAGGCCATAAACCAGATACGGACAGGGGGGCCTGTGCACGGCATCATTCACGCCGCGGGAGTTCTCGCCGACAAGCTGCTGGCAGAACAGACCGCAGAAGATCTCCATTCGTGCCTGGCCTGCAAGATCGTCCCCGCATTGCTCCTGCCGCAGCTCGAGTGCGAGGATTGGATTGTGAACTTTAGCTCCGTGAGCTCTGTCTTGGGGAGTGCCGGGCAAGTTTCCTACAGCGCGGCCAACGGCTGCCTCGATGGGTTGGGCCAGACAGCCCCCGATCATGCTCCACGCGTGCTGACGATCCAGTGGGGCCCGTGGGCGGAGGCTGGGTGAATGTTCGTTGTTGTTGTGGTGGCTGCATGCTGTGCATACTGTGTCCGTCAGTTTTTGGCTGCGCATGTCGTTCGTGGGTCTGAGGCAGGCATGGCTGCTAGGCCGCAGGCCTTGCGCCGGGCGCAGCAGCACGGCTTCGGTGCCTTCAAGACGGACCAGGGCATCGCCATCTTGGCGCAACTGTTGGAAGCTGGCGCGGCAGGCAGCGTGTGCGCTGTTCAGAAGACTGGGCTGGTGAAGCTGGATGCATTCAGGGTGCTTTCCTCGGGCCCGCGCAGCATTCAGCCGATGGAGGACGTGGATTCTGCGATTTCGCGAGTGCTTCAGGGTCTGACAGATTCGGCGGCATTGACTTTGGACTCAGATCTTAGCGAGTCGGGGCTGGATTCTCTGGGAGCTGCAGAGCTGTCAATACAGTTGTCTAGTGTACTGGGCATCAAGCTTCCAGCCACCGTGTCTGCAACTGCTAAGTCCGAGAGGGAGTTGCGGCAGTTTGTGCGGGAAGAGCTTGCAGCTCAGAGGGATGTATCCCAAGTCGGAGTTCCGGAGGCTGCCAGTAGCAAACTACCAATCCTTGTGGTGGGTGCTGGGGTAGGTGGTGTAGCCTTCGCGCAGCAGCTGGTCCGAGCGAGCGAGACCGTTGTTGTTATGGAGAAAGGGGCTGCCGCGGGTGGTTCCTGGACCCATGGCAACCTGTCTTCAAAGTTGCAGATTGACGCTCCCTCCTATATGCTGAACTATGATTCCCCTCGCGCATGGGGGGCAACCTATCCGAGCAAGCAGAAGGTCTTGGATGAGGTGCGTGAGGCAGCCAGCAGCCTGGACCTGAGGCTGAACCATGAAGTAACGTCCCTTTCGATGGTTCAGCGAGGAGAGTACCGTGTCGCGTACACCGATGCATCCAGGAAGCAGCATGAGTTGACCGTCGGCGGCGTTGCCTTCTTTTTGGGTGGGCTGCACGCCGCGAATGATGTCGTCTATCCAGGCGAGGATGGCTTCGCAGGGACAATCGGCCTAGGCCACGGGGATGATGTGCGTCCCGAAGCTTTCAAAGATCAGGAGGTGCTGATCGTTGGGCATGGTGCTTTTGCTATTGAAAACATGCGAACGGCCTTGCAGAATGGCGCGAAATCTGTGACCATAGTTGCACGGCGGCGGAACATCGTTTTTCCCAGCGTGGTCAATTGGCTCATCAACTCGGTAAATGGAACGCTCGGGATACGCAAGATCCGGCCTATCCTGGAGAAGTTCTACCAGGCGGCCGGTGTCACTCTCGACCAGCTCCCGGCCCTGTTGGGCGATTCCATCGACTTCCGAATCCCAGCCTGCTCCGATATCTATTTCCTCGCGCAGGCAGCGGCTACTGTCCACCATTTCATACGGCAAGTGCTCCTGTGACATTCCTGTAATTGGGTGAGCGCCTGCTAGCTGAGAGGCGATGGGCGCACTGAGAGTCGTGATCGGTGAAGTGAAGTGTCTCGAGAGCACCTGTGCCGCCGGGAGCTCGGGGCACTCTGCCAACAGAGCGTTCTCAATGAAAGTGTGTCGTTGTCTAGCGGTGAATGCGGATTTTCCATACATGAGGTTGTGGATGTTTTCGACGAAGATGGGAGAAGTCGAATTGAGCGTTTTCCTTGCATCTAGCTTGCAAGACCCGGCCACTCCGATCTCTAAATCAGCTCGAAAGTCTAAACCTTCACTACATCTGAGGTCAGGTCGTCTTGAAGTGGCTCGGAGTGATTACTAAGTGATTGCTACAAGCGATCGGAAAGGAAGTGACGGTGACGTCTGTCTCAGTCTAGGTGCCTTGGATTTCATCGCCACGACTTGGTGCAGGAGATCATGGGAAGGCAGTCTCGAATAGTGGCTGTAGATCGACTCCCCGTCCCATGGATCGAACCCAGGCCGTAAACGTAAGCGCAGGCCTGAAACCTCTAAGCCCTCAACGCCTACACCCTAAACCATCCCTACACCCTAAACCATCCCTACACCCTAAACCATCCCTAAACCCTAAACCGAAAAACCCTAAACCCCAAACCCGAAACCCAGACCCTAAACCCTAAACCCTAACCCAAAGGGCCCTAACCCGAAACTTCAGCATGTTCGGGAGGCCTGTGGAGCGGAAGGCGAGCTTCTGGCTCGACGGAGACCCGAACCTGGTTGCCAACGACCAGTTCCAGGTGGAATGCAAGATTTATAGAAGCTGTTTACATACAGACATATAAAGTGAGAAGGTTCCTTTACGGCTTGGCTTAGGAAAAGACATATAAAATGTATAAACATGTATAATAATAATAGCAATAGTAAGAATAGTAGTCATACTCATAATAAGAATAATACTAGTTGGAATAGTCATAACCATAGTACGAATATATGTATATATATATATATATATGTATATGAGAGCTGCCTCTAGGATATATATATATATATGTGTAAACTGTATAGCTTCTTACACATCTATCTCTCTAAATATCTGTGTCTCCATCGCTCTGCCTCTCTGCCTCTTTGTCTGCCTGCCTGTCTGTCTGTCCGTCGGTCTGTTGGGCTTCTCCTGTTCAAAAGCCCTCAAGGTGCAAGATAGTGCAGGCAATCAGCAGACTGGCAGAAGTGGACGCATTTGTCGCAAGTGTTCGTCGCCATCCTGTAGCTTAGATCAGCAACACGCCGGAAGACTATCGGCCAAGCTCCAAGCTGAGGTGCCCGAGGGTGTGAACTCGCTGCTCTGCCCCAGTTACCCCTTCTACGTGCAAGCCTTTGCCAGAGCATTCCTGCACTATCGCAAGGACCCGCAGGCCTTTCAGAGGGTTCTTGTCATGACTGCTTGCATGCTGCTGCTCTGCTGTCGAGTTATTGCCCCCCTGTCGTGTTGCCTCTGTACCTTGTTGAGGCACTTGCCAAGTTGTCCTTCACGCCGGGTGTCGATATCAACATCATGTGGGAGCATTTCAAAGAGAGGAAGGTGAAGGTGTCGGATGTAACAAGACGCTGGGCTTTGAAGTGCTGTTTAGCCATCACATGTTGGTTTCTCGGTGCAAAACCCAAGAAAGACGCGGTAGGTACGAATCTCAGAACTGAGGAGAGCATCTGCCTTTCTGCGATTTCGTTCGTCATCGTCGGGCCGAGTGGGAAGACAACGCCCGCATCTTGCGAGGGAGGCGGGTGGATGGTGTCGCTGAGAGCCTGCATCTGCCGGACTTCGACAGCTTGCTGCGGCCGGCCAGTGCCATTGTTGCCCGCCTCTGGCCAAGTTCCCCACAGGACTTTGCTGGTATCTTGGCAGTTCCGCGTCGTCCACGGGTCTTGTTCTTCCACGGAGAGAAGACAAACCGAGAAGTGGCCATGAGACTGCTCCAAGCCACAGGATGGTGGCAGCAAGCAGACTTTGTGGTGCCAGATGGTCCCCATGCGGTTAGCGCCGACGAGGATCCGGAGCAACTTGAACGTGTGGGCTTGACACAGCTGGTGCGCGAAGGATGGTACCGTCCCGGAGAGATCTACAAGGAGTGGTGTGCCAATTTCGGCATTTTCTTCGACCTCCACATGAAAACACGAACAGGAGCTTTAGACACCCAAGAGGCGCAGATGGAACACGACCGCTACGAGGAGGCCTTCTCATACCTCACGAAGGTCGCACACAGTCATGGCCCCTTCGATGCCGTGGCAGGATTCTGCCAAGGAGCAGCATTTGCCCATGCAGCCATGTTCATGCAAAGAACCGGGGGGAGAGATCTTGGACTTGGAGGGGTGCAGATGATGATTGCCATGGCGCCATGGAAATGCCCGTACCACGAACACCTCGGCTTGTTCAACACACAGCTCAGCATGCCATTGCTGTTGTTGCATGGAAGCCAGGACCTTCGCTTGCAGTCAGACCATTTCCTGCAAATATTGTGTAGTAGAGAGTCAGCCTGCACTGATTGTCGGAAAGCTAGAATGATTGCTTTTGCTGATGCCGTGCCCTGTCAGATCGGGTGCAGTGCTTTGTCCGGCAGCTCTGTCAGGTAGTCAGGCTAGGCTTTGATTGTGAAGTTGTTATGAACAGTTATGGAGGCAGTTACTTGTTCGTGTGGCTCTGTGTGACTGAGTGCGCTCTGATTTACCGTGACAAGGGTGATGGCATGCGCTTTTCCGAGGATCTGCAGATGTTCAAAGACGCTGTCGGCCCTTTCCGGGACAGCTTCGCCAGCGATTGCGTCACGACCCAGGAGTTCGAAGGCAAGCATGCTTATCCATCACTGATCCGTTCTTCCAAGCTTCAAGATGTGGCTGAGCAATTCCTGGATGCGAACCGATAGACCCGCTCCGTGGCTTCGTTTGGCTAGCAAGGCCAGGAGTTCAAGACTTCCCTCTCCTTGCTTAGCGGAGCAGCTGGGCCGCTCCCATTTTTTCAGCTCTGTTAGATCACAGGTGAGCAGCGAAGCAGCTCGCCAACATAGGATGCAGCGAGGGTGTGCGTCACGGCCTCTGGAATGGAGATTGGTAGTCTTCTTCCGGAGGTGATGATCAGGTTCTGTCAGGCTAGAAGGCATCTGTGGAGCAGCACTTGAAACGACGAAGTTGATCAGAATGTTTCGTAGTGCCCCCCTCCTGCGCTTGCCAGTAAGCCATACACCGGAAAGCCATGGCATTCTGGCAGAGTCAGTATACTCTGCCTATGCGCCTGAATTGCAAGTGCTGTGAGTGGTGAAGGTCTCATTCCAAGTAACTTCGTGTTTCCACGTGTATGAGCCGAGAGCTTCAAGATTCTAGTTACAGTTCCTAGATGTGAATGGCCAGTCATGTTGCCCACGAGCTCGTGAGTATCAGAGAGTCGAGTTTAAGCAGACAGGTCAGTGTTTCAACAATTGCAGCCAGAAGTCTGCCTGGGCATGATGGCCACGCAGAAAGGCCACTGCTTTCCTAAGCCAAGCTGTGGCCATGCAAGTGAGAATCAGACAGATAGATCATGATCCATGTACGGTGGACCCCGCCTTCAGCAAGGTCAGGGTGCTCTGTGCAAAGGAAGTGCAGTGCTCTGTGCAAAGCGCTACGGAAGGGAGATTGGTAGTCTCCTTCCGGAAGTGAAAGGCGCACTCTCCTGCGACAGCATAGAAGTCTTTGTGTCTTAGGGTTTAGGGTTTAGGGTTTAGGGTACGTCGGAAGTCGGAAGAGCTATAGCCGAGCATCTAGACTGTTGGACGAGGTTTGTCGCGAAGTCATCCCGAGCGTTTGGCCAAGCAGTTTCTATGGCCCGCCGGCCGGTTTGCCCAGCAGTGTCTCAATAGCTTCTCGCATTAGCTTGGCAGTCAGTGCTTCATTGAGGTAATGTGCCAGTCCTTCTAAGCCTCCATTTAACCCGCATTTCGCATCATCGATAATTATCGGAACTTCGTGTTCGTGGACAGGCGAGCACTGAACTACCCTTGACCTGTTGAGTGAACCTTAGCATACTGCACTGTCGTGCGATGAAGACGGCAGGATGAAGCTGAGGCAAGAGAAAGCCCAGTCTCCGCAATGCGTGAGACGCGCCGAGGTGGCCTGTTGCCTCGTACGAGCTCGGGATAGAACCTGTTGAGTTTGCCAGCGGATAGCTGTAGCTCGGCAGAACCCCCTAGTTCAGACACAGGCCAGCGAGTGAAGAAAATGACCACACAGCAACGGAGGTGACTTGCACCAGCGGCATGGAGCTTTTGTTGCTTGCAGTGCTGCGGGAGTTGCCTGGAGTCGGGATCTTTAGGCTTACAGATGCTGCACACAACGCAACGCGAAGGTAGATTAGCCAAGCTGTGCCTTGCGGCTCAGACGCTCTGGTGTGGTATGGCTTTCTCCAGTGCCGTCTTCACACGTTGTCAGAAGCTGCTTGATGAGCACGGAGTGACAGTCACAAGCGGGCCGGTGGCTGATGCAGATCCCAAGAATGCAGCTTACGATGCTTGCTCACTGGCTTTGGCTGGAAAGCATTGCGCCTACCGCTCTGCCAAGATCACACCGACCAAGAACGGAGCCTTTGTGACTTGCTGGAAGCGGCCTGGTGGGAAAGGCTCCATCGTCCCTTTCAGCGTGGGAGATTTGCAGGCCCTCCTGGTGGCAGTAGAAGAGGCTGGGAACTTTGGATTCTTCGTTTTTCCCGCCGAAGACTTGCTGAAGCAGGGGATCCTTGCAGCACCCGGATCGGGCCGGAAAGGCAAGCTCTCCTTTCGAGTCTATGCCCCATGGGTCGTGCCAGAAAGCAAGCAGGCCGCTGCGACGCAAACCTGGCAGCGACCCTTCTTCGTGCAGGGGGAGAGCAGCCTGCTCAAGAAGCTCTTTAACTCCGAGACCCAGGGCCCTCCCAGCAAGCGCCTGCGCAAGGCGTAGGATCGCCACAAGCGCTCCACAGGCCCCCGGTCCCTGGGGTCAGCGCCATCTTGTCGTGAGTCATGTAACCAGCGCCATGTGAAAATGGTAGAGTGCCTGTTGCGAGACAGGGTTGATTGAAGGATCCGCATGCTCTCATTCTCTCATCAGTGACGGCTGTTCATGGTCCGCGTGTCCCACGAGAGGCCCACCGAAACCAAGACATGCTGGCAGTGGCCCCTCGCTTGCTGTGTCCAAAGTCAGCCAGGAGGACTGGATAGCTAGGTTTCAAAGTTGATTGATGTTTCAGAGGGGAAAAGGAGGGACCCTTAATAAGGAACCCTAAGTATATACCCTTAATATAGCTATTATATACTCATTACATAGCCCATTGTAGGGTAAGGGTCCCCATTAAGGGTCCCTCCTTTTCCCCTTTGAATGTTGAAGCTCTTCTGGGCTCTCTGTGGCTGCAAGTGCAGGAGCTTCCAGCACACTCCGCGTTAAGGGTACGAGGCCTGATTGGTAGTCAGGCCTTCGCGTTGCAGGCTCCAACAGATGCCGAGCCTTCCATAGAACTTGGATTTTGGCACTGCTCTAAACAGCGGCGAGCAAGAAAAAGGTGCCTGCGGACCAGAGATACCCAACTGTTTGACACATAGGGCTGTTGAGTGCCAGGTTTGGTCCGTTGTGTTGTGCTGCAATAAAATGTCGCAGGCCGACGGTCGTATGTCCAGAAACCAGCCATGGATCAGGTGCATTCATCTGTCGGCCACATGCATGCATAGTGTAGCCCATGCAAGACTAGATGTAGCTTCTGAGACAGCCACATCTGCTCGGTGCAGTCTTGATCAGTCCACCTGCCCTGCATCAAAGACGCGAGCAGAAGAGCCATAGACTCAAGCTGAAAGATCAAAGTCAAGAAGCAGCAGATGGCAGCCGCCAGCAGGCCTGCCGCATCCGAACGCTGTAGCTTGTTTTCGTCAGGCCTAGCAACCAGCCACTTCTTGATCGCAGCGTTGTCCGATGATCGATAGCAAGCTACAGAAATACCAAGCAGGATGCAGCAGAGTGAGCAGATGTGACTGCCGGCGACATGGTGAAAAGGACCCAAACTTCAGGTTAAACGCTGAGTCCGATGACCTCCGCAAAGGAAGCAAGAAAGTACTATGTTCAGTGCTTTGCAAGTGCACGCCACGATCAATGCATCACGACAGCAAGTGTAGTACAAACTTGGGGGCATGCCATCGCAAGCTGAAGAATTGAACGGGCTGGAGGTAGATTCGAGGCACAAGGAAGTTCAAGGAAACATGCCCGAACACGAGTTTCATCTTGTCGTGCATACCTTGTGAGGCAGAGGTACCGTCAGGGTACTGCCCGAGTCTGAGCCTCAAGCCTCCGTGCGCAGGATCGGACTCCATCTCAGGTGGTGCTCAGGCTCGGCCGGGCAGTCCTCTTGCACCAGCTGGAAGCAGTCTCTCCTTTAGTTGTCACCTGAGGGATGGTCGCTGTACTGATGCTGTACTGCATGCGTCGTACCGTATCATTGGGGCTCCAGGCCTGTTTCCTTGGACTGGTAGTTCTCAGGATGCTAGGCTGATGCCTGTCGGCTGTCTGCTGGACGATGTGCAATTCTTTGAGCGTGTGGTGGCTGCCTGGGGAGTCAGCCGGTGTTTTGAGAAACTGGCAGAAGACATTACACCAGTTCAGGTAGCACAATGTGACATAGATGAGGTGGAGGGGTGGATTCTGGAGGTGGCCGGCAGTGTGTGGAAACCTGAGGACATCAGCCTGACCCTTATGGGGTCGTGTTGGATTGGCACGAACATCCTGAAACAAGCCGGGCAGAGTGACAGGGACTATGCCATTGAGGTCGGGCAGGCGAGGTTAAGCCCTGAAGAATGGCAGCTGTTCTACAGTCTCTTGCAGCGAGACAGCCGATTTCAGGAAGTGACGCTGGGATCGAAAGCAATCAAGTTCTGCGATCCGAAGTTGAGGCTTGAATGGGAGTTGGTTCCTGTCCGTGGCCATTTCAGCTTTGAGCTGGTGACGTTCCCCATGCTTGACGGTGCCATGAGCACCGCCGCACGGAATTCATCGCGGCTCCAGTTTTTTGAGACGTACCCTGGCGCTAGGAATGCGGTGCGAGTCTTGAAGCGCTTGTGTCCTGGGCTCAATGGGAACATGGTCGAAGCCTTGGCGGCTAGGCAAGGCCAGGACCTGCTGCAGCAAGATGCAAGCCTTGCGGAAGCTGACGGGAGTGGTGTGGTTTTGTTTCAACACCTTGTCTCTCTCTTCGATGGACATCCATGGAGCCCTCCCCATCCGAATTCCCCTATACAGGTCTTGCTGCGTGATGCTGCAAAATATGGAAGAGAGCAAAGCGTAAAAGAGGCTCTGAAGGAAGTAAGCAAGATTGCAGGTGTCATTCGCGCTAGAACGACGAGCCATCACCTGGAGGAGCCTTTCGTCTGCATGACTCTCATAGGTGCCGTCAGGTGTATGGCAGTTATGGGCGCGGCTGCCGCCTGCTTTGTTACCCAGATAGTGCATGGCATCGACGTGGTCATTGAGCTTCCTCGTGCTTTTGCAGATCAAGCAATGAATCCTCGAGCAGATGACTGTCCGGATAGTTCGTGCTTCTGCAGTGACCTTCGAGACAGCTGGCTGACCTGCACAAGCTTGGAGGAATTCGACTGCGAGATGCTTGGCTTCCGACTGAACCGGTGCAACGTGACCTTCATAGCCACCTCCGTCAATTTGATCAGCCATGCCCTCATGCTCATTCTGACTTCAAAAGTTGCCTGTGGATTGCATGGGTACGAGCGGGTGCCGCAAGTGTGCTTGGCCTCGGCAAGTGTTTGTTCAGTCCTGGTGATTCTGGGCCACCTGCGCTTCTGCGGCCTTGGCAAGTACGTCCTCCTCTCCCGCAGGTGCAGCAACGTGATCAACACGCTGAGTTTGGCAATGTCCGCTGGTGCATTAATCTTGGTTTGGGACAGTGAAGCCCAAAACTCTAGGCTCACAAAAGTCAACCTCTTGGGGTTTGTGTTTGTCGCGGCCTTCGCGCCGACAGTCTGTTTGATTGACCTGGCCTCAGCAATTCAATCCGCTCTTTTGGATTCTGGCGCGGACCTCCAGTTCGTGCAGCAGAACCATGTGTTCTACACTTTGAGTCTTGCCTTCCAGCTGTTCTTCGCACTGGCCAGTCGGGGTGATGCACCCAAGATGCTGCAGGGTATTGTGACGAAGCTCCTGGGGATTCAGCTGGTGTGGCAGGCCATCGATACTTGGTACTGGGCTGCTCCATTTCTGTGGCCCCAAACGCAGAGGAAGTACAATCTCCTTGTGATTCTGCTTTGTCGGCTTGCTTTGGCCCTGAAGCTTTTGGGCATGGTGAGTCTCGTTAAGCAGGGTCGGCTCCAGCTGCACCGCCAGGGTACTGGCATTCTTTCAGAGATCTTGTTCCGGAGGAAGAAGACCTCATGATCCGACTGCGGAGAAAGGACAATCATTCAACTTACTGTGGCCGTTATCAGTATTGATTGTTGAGTTTTGCGCTTTGTTTTGCTCTTCTGAGTGCTACTGTTGCACTCTGCGACTAAAGCCCGAAGCATCCTTTGCTTAGAGGTAGCCGCCTTCATACAAGTCATCACGATCACGAATCGGCAGGAAATGCTCCTTCTGCCGGGCACAGCTCGGCCTCACGGAACCACACACACTGAGATGCTGGGCCACGAATTTCAGGATGCAGCGGGCGAACGGTGTAACAGAGCACAAACTGTGCAAACCTCACACCCTAAACTGCACCCGAAATCCGCGAAAGACTCTCCAGCAACCTCCGTGCAGGCAAGCCAGAGCTGCAGGGAGCGCTGAAACAGGCCCAGTCTGTGTGAGATTTGCGATCACAAATCTCAGGCTGAACGGCTCGAAAGGACTGGAACATCTGAGACAAGGGAGCAGGCCACTCAAAAGGTAGTATATATAGAGACTTTTCTGAGAGAGGGGCGAACCGCTCGATCAGGACAAGAGCATGTGAGAACACGGAACAAACCTTTCAAAAGGAATTGAAGTAAGTGAGTACTTAAGAAAGACGAACAGCCGCTCGAAGGGGCCTGAAGCGATTCAGAAATGTGCTTCCAAACGGGCGAGCTTCTAAGCTTTCCTCGCCCGACATGGCATGTCACCTGAAGAGAAGCAGAACCTTGTGGCTCTCGCACGTGCGGCATTTCAGTCCTCTTCGCTGCCAGGCCGAGCCACCAGCACCGGAGCAGATTTGATTCCCGATCCTTTGCAGAGCAGCCTGTGGTGACGAACGCCCTGCAGATCAGCTACAGATACGCACTTCCGACAGCTCGGATGGCTCCCCAAACGCACAGTCCACACATGGAGTGGACATGACTGTGGAGATGCGGCTGCCAAGTGCGAGCGCATGTTAGACTAGGCTGGTCTGAAGCGCACAGCCCAGAGTTAGAAGGAAGGAACTTGAATCCGGCGACTCGCCAAGCTTTGCCGGGGCCTAAGTTCATGCAGCCTTCGCAAAAAAAACCATCAGAGAATCCCACAGTCACTAGCCTGCAGAGCATGGGACACGCTCGAGCAAAGACATGTGCGTTGCGGAGCTGATGCTGACACTGAAGACGTTGACTTTTCTCGTGCCTCATGGTAGTTTGGCTTTTGCTGTCATCGTTCTACCTATCAACAGCAAAGCCAGCAGCATTTGCTCTCCTTGAGGCTGCTTCTCCCTGCGGCATCGGGCCAGAAGGGACCCAAGCAGGCGCTGTCTGCCCGCACGTTTCCTGATGCTGACAGGAAGGGACGCCGAGGATTGTTTGCCTAAATCTTGTATCTTGGACCTTGCCGTGGTTGAGCTTGGTCTGCCATGCGGGAGCCCGAATAGCCGTCCTCGGCTCAAAGAAGATAGAGATATAGATGGATGCAAAATGGATTCCATATCGGATCTCGTGGCATTTTGCCCTGATCCTCGAATTGACCTGCATTGATTCCCTTCGCGACTCAGACCTCGACTTCCGCACGCTCACGATGCTCGGCACGCAAGTTTTTCGAAAGCTTCTCCCCCTCAGCTTGAAATTCAACCTTGTCATTTTTCCTGCCGCAAGAAGAAGGGTGGTAAAATTTTTCATCCGGCAGAGAAGACTGAACCCCGAAACTAACAGCTCTCAGTCTCAGGACCTCCCAGGAGGAGTGCCCAGAGATCTGCACTTCGCCTTCGGGCCGCAGTGGTTCCTACGAGCTGCACGGAGAAGCCGCCAGAAGCCTTGGAAAGGCCAAGCAGCTCGGGCTTATGTAGGGGTTTGTTGTTGGTTTTACGGTTTTAGGGGTTTGGAAGCTTTGAGGTTTCGATATTTACGGAGGCTTTCGAAAGGGAGTTGGGCAGCCGAGGTACTTCGTGAGCGCCAACTGTGCAGATGCCTCGGCCGATTCCAGCCCAAAGGCCAACGTGGTGCCCTGGATCGACGCCGAGGACCGCAGAAGGGCTGACGCGGGGCGGGTGGTTCCTTGAAACAGCATGGCATAATGGCATCCGCCAAAGGACAAGGGTGGATGGTAGGAAATAGACATCATCATGTGCGATTCGGTCTTGCCGGAAGGACCCTGTGAATGGCTCCTTCGTGGCAGTCTTCGTAGACCCCGTCCTTATTAACAAGATTCGTGCTGGGACGTCGGACAAAGCCAAGCTCTGTGCAGCTCAGCCGCTTGGCAGCCACGTCTCGAAGACGCGGTGCTCCTCAATTGATTTCTCGATAGATGCACGAGTGCATGTCGGTTGAAAGAGGATTTGAGCGCTTTTTGTGCCACGGGCGAGCATGACCTCGCTGCACTTGCTTCTTGGGTTGAATGAGGAGCGACGATGCCCTTTGCGTTTGCAAGCTGAGTGGCGAACGGCCGCTGGGCGTTGCTCGGCCAGAGTAGTGTTTCTGGCGTTGATAGACGGGAGGTTACTTGTCAGGGCATAAGGTAGTTGCAATTCAAGAGCTTAAGGGCTTGTTGTGCTTCTGCCCGAGCAGCTCATGGGGTTTCTAGGGTTGCGATGAAAGAGGATGAAAGAGTCCCGGACATTGAGGCTGAGGGGCGGTGTTTCCGTGATATGCACACATTCGGCTCAGGAGCAAGCCCGTCTCCAACCCCGCCACCCCTCTTCGTGCCAATCGCGAGGTGCTGGGACGCATGTTGGCGGCGCTTCCCCACTCCAAGAAAGCGCAGGCGCTGCAGCGGCTCGGCTGCAAGCAGCTGTCCTGACGTGTGGAAGTGTCCGAAGTTCCCGCATTGCAAGAGAATGCCGAAAGGATCTCTATGGAGAACTGCCCGGAGGGGGTGCCGGACCTCCTGGCTGGCGCCTGGGCGAGGATAGCTTCTTTTCTTTAGTTACAGGTCGCCTGCGGTGTCGTGCTTCCCGTCACAGCCTCGGCTTGAAGCTGAGGCACGGTGCTGGCCAGCCTCGTGCTGATTCTTGGGGTGTCCGTCTGGATGCTGTGCATATCTGCGGCAAGCGACAGGCTGGAGGAGCCCGTGGCGCCCCTTCAGAGTCTTGCGGAGGTGAAGAGCCCGATGCAGAATTTCCTCAGCAGCTACTCCTGGGCAGCCGGCTTTCTCCTCTCCCTGATGGCCTTGCAAACCGGCGCCTTGGCAGTGGTCCGGAAGTCCTCCGAAGAGGAGGCTCGTGCTGTCAGAAAGTGAGAGCTGCAAAGCTACGCCGAGCTCCTCTCGTAAACCCTGCGGCAGGCGCCCGTGTGGATCGTCGCGGCCGGCCCCGCCGTGTTGGCGCTTGCGGCTGCCCTGCGCCTGTCGCAGCTTCTCGTGAAGAAGCAGTTGGTGCACGCGTTCCTGAAGTGGGACGTGATCATCGCCGATCTGCCGGATGACATCATCCTCGATGCAATGCTCGTGGTCGCAATTCTGGCGTACTTCCTCTTCATCCTCTACCTAGTCAGCATCGACCTGCAGACACTGGTGGTCGCCTTGACGGCTCTGGGCGGGTCATTGTGGACAGTCCTCAAGGCTGTGAGCACTGCGCGAGACTTGGACCAAGGCTTAAAGCTCGTGGAGATCAACTCCGCGTCCCTGGCGAAGAGCACCGAAAGGCTGAACATGAAGCTGCTGCCCTGGGCAAAATTGCTGGCGCTCGGCGACGAGGACAGAGCTTGTCAGAGAGGGAGCACTCGGTACGTGTAACAACAGAAGCAGTTCACATAGAGTAGCAACAGAAGCAAGCAGTAGTGACTGCAAAATGGGCAGCATTGACACCAACTACAGCAGGAGCAACAACAACAACCGCCACCGCCATCCCCACCCCATCCCCACCACCAACAACAGCAGCCGCCGCACGCCACAACAACTGCAACATCCACAGCCGCAGCCGCAGCAGGAGCAGCATCAATAGCAGCAGCAGCAGCAGCAACAACCATCACAACCCCAACGACAATACCACCAAAATGTAGTAGCGACAGCAAGCGATCCAAACGTCGTCAGGTGGTGCGCGGTGGGGACGACGATGATGTTGTGGATGGTGCTGCTGCTGCTGATGATGATGTTGACGGACATGTGTCTCTCCTGGATGAATGCAGTCACGTGCGGCACGAGCCAGAGACTCGCAGGAGCTTCGCAAGCTCTTGGAGTCGGACTCCCCCAGCACCGGATCCGCGTTGCCTTCCTCGACTGCATCGTCCCGCAGATGGAGCTTGACATCCGTGGCTCGGCAGGGGCCCCTGCTCCGTTTCTTGAGCCGCTCCCGAGCCGGCTTCCTCGTGTTGCCAGCCTTCCTGGCCCTGGTGGCGTTCTCGTGCTGCGTCTCCGCCGGGCACATGACGGCCTACGCGTGTTCGGTCGGGGAGCTCGCGGACCTGAAGCTGGCCAGCTCCTTGCACTCCCTGGAGTTCCTCCCCTGGCGGCTTGGCTCGCAAAAGCCTGGTTTGTCCAAATGGGCGAATACAAATTATGATGTCAAGTTGCGAGTTTGGGCTCTGAGGCAGACCCGGTACGAAGTCGCAAGCGACGTCTCCTTCACGAAATTGGCCCTGGTTGCCAGTGTCCGCCCCTCTGCCACCCGCCTGATGTCCATCGCCCAGCCGCAAGCTACGAGCATGCCGCCTTCCAGCCCCCGAGTCATTGCGGTTGAGGAGAAGCAGAGCGTGGCGGTCGAAGAGATCCAGCTGTCGCACAGGCAAGTTCCGCGCGTGGCCACCATCCGCGTCCAGGGCCTCCGTCCTTCTCGGCCCGAAACCACGTATGAAGTGCGCTTCTCGCCATCGGCGACGATGCCGGCAGCCCTCCGGATCACCGCCCAGGAGTTCCAGAGAACCATCGCCTGGTCTTCCTTGCCCGGATCGGTCTTCAGCATCCCAGAAGGCAGGTGCGATCACATGATAATGTTTATATGAAGCTTAGGGCGTATTCAAAAGGCAGGGCGCTTTTGCTTGTCTCCCTGAGGTGTCCAAGACTTTCGCTTCGAAGTGCAGCTCGCCGACTTC